CCAGTTTTCCTTCTTCATACTTGAAACTACAGTTTGAAGTGGTATTCTCTCTCCTTTTACACTGTCTGTAAGGCCAGAAACACTGATAGCACAAGAAGAGAGAACTCCCTTCTAATACTTCCTGTCAGTAAGGCCTCTAGAAGAGCAATGCAATAAAAAGCTCATCTGTTCCTACAGCTGTCAGATTATTAAACCCAAAACATCCCTGTTGTGAAAAGGAGCCTTCAGGGCAAGCAGAGTATGTCTGGTGCAGACAAAACTGTTAATTAACTGACAAATCCATCAAGCCTTTATTCAACATACTGAAGTTGAGAGTCTTTCTGCCTTTGTAACTTTGCCAAAACTTTTTTCTTTTCCATGGGAACACTGATTCACACTTCCTGGATGCCAAAGTGATCCTGTTGGCTCCTACCTCAATTATCTACACAAAATTATCTGCACAAAAGCAGAGCATTTCAGAAGGTTGGGCTTATTACTTTGAGGCAAACATGAGCTCAGTTTCCAATAATGAAAAAAAAAAAAAAAAAAAAGAAGGCTAAGAGCAACTCATCAGGGAACATTTCCCTTTGTGTGACGTAGATATAACGATGGTACAAGGAAACGCAGGCATGAAAGCATCAGAATCATTAATACATTGCTTTTCAGTGCACCCACTCTAAAAATTAATAATATTTTATACTGGTTTTTTACAGGTGACTTTCTATGTATATCATTAGTAAATGGATTTACACAGTTACGCTACAACCTTGGAGACAGAACAGTCATCCTACAGACCCTTCAGAAGGTCCACACAAATGGGAACACATGGCACTTACTCAATGCAGGAAGAGTTGGTAATGAAGGCTACTTGGACCTGGATGGTATCAACATTACTCAAAAAGCTAGTCCTGGAATGAATGCACTAGACACACACTCAGATTTTTTTGTTGGAGGGGTATCCTCCTTAAACCTTGTTAATCCAATGGCAATAGAAAATGAGCCCACAGGTTTCACTGGTTGTATTCGAGAAATTGTTATAAACAACAGGGAACTGAATCTTACCGTGACTGACCCCAAAGGTGGAGCCAACATTGGTGACTGTGATGGAACAGATTGTGGTTACACTGTGTGCAAAAATAATGGTACATGTCACGTTGAAAACTCAGGCTTTTCTTGTTCTTGCCTGAGAGAGTGGACAGGGACCATGTGTGAACAATCTATTCACTGTTCACAAAACATGTGTGGGTCTCACGCGCTTTGTATTCCTCAGCCTTCTTCATTTTCATATACCTGTGCATGTGCACTAGGCTGGACAGGTAAGTACTGCGATACCAAAATCAAATTTTATATAGCAAAATTTGTTGGCAACTCCTACATTAAATACACTGATCCTTTTTATGGAAAAAGAGACCTCCAGTACAGCCGTCTTTCTTTAAATTTTACTACCAATCAAACTGAAGGCTTAATAGCATGGATGGGAAAAAGTGAAGATGAAGATAATGACTTCCTTGCCATTGGTCTTGCCAATGGAACTTTAAAAGTTGTGATTAATCTTGGAGAAAGGATCTCTGTTCCTCTAATGCATAGGAAGTATTTCACCTGTTCTGATGGAAGATGGCATTTCACTACTGTAGTTCAAAACCAAACTTGTATTAAGGTTTATCTTGATGAGGAACTAATCCTTTTTGAAGATATTGACCCACAAAGGAAATACACTGCTTTGAACTATGGTGGCATTTGTTACTTTGGCGGGTTTGAAATTGGCAAGGAAGTCAATATAGTCACTATAGGGCTTTTTCAGAAGGAATTCATTGGTAAAATTAAAGATGTTGTGCTCTTCCAAGATTCTAAAAAGATTCCACTGATGAAAGCAGAAGGATACAACATTCATGATGGAAATTCTGAAAATTAATTTAAAAAACTGTCCAAGACACTTTTAAAAAGGATAAAATTCCTTCTCCTCCTGTTTATTGTGTTAGCTGGTAGTGTATGACTCAGAAACAAACTTAGGAAAGCACTTAAAAAGTAATAAGGGACAAATCTATGTGGAGTATTAATAGCATAAACATATAAAATATGATCAATTGTTTTCTTCATATAGTTATTTATATGTACTCTTTAGCATTTATTTGAAAATAATGGGAAAGTCTGAAGGTTTGGGTTTTTTTCTTTATTGTGCTGGAAATAGTTTTGTAAACAAAGAGGTAGTGATTAGTTTAAAAAGCAAACCATCATTCAAGTGTTGTTTGTTGCTTTATGAGAAAAGACAACTGTTACCTGTTTCTCCAACTGTTGAATATTATTAGACTGTTTATTTTATAATATTAAGGTCCAGTCTAAAAACTGAAATTGGTGGGGGAAGAAAAGGTGTGCTTGAGGCAGAAAGCATGTTTACTGTAATGAGAATTTCAAAAAATGCAACAGCTGTAATTACTTGTGAAGCCCACAAAGACTCTATTTAGGTAATGACGTTGTTCTCCCTCCCTTCTGAGTGTGTCCACCCTGTATGTATATATTTAAGAGGGCAGAATGCAAGTTTCAAGTCTGCTAAAATATTAAAGAATGTTTTAAAGAGCAAAAAACATATATAGTTTTAGAGAAAGAAAACAGGCCTCCTGGTTTTCTCCAGCAGAGGTCTCCCCTATTTGATTACATGAAAACTTTTGGCTTTAATAATTTATAACTGGAATGTGCCAGTCTGCCTACAAGTAACATTTATTCTTAAGACCTTAAAAAGTCCAAGAACTGTTCTACTTTACCTGTAACTTTCTGGCTTATATGCCCCTAAATGACATTTCAAATTTTTGTACAGAGGTTTTGGTCATAGTAAACCAAATTTCTGCAAATATATTTTTCAATAATTGATAATCTCAAAAGTAAGTAGAGCTGTTCGTACATAAATACAAAAAATCAATTCCTTCTCATAAAGCTGTATTATATTCTGCTTTAGGAAGCAATAAAAAAATAAAATTCTATTTTAATGTGCTTACACCAATAATGTATGATAGCATCTACATTTCTCATTTGATGGCTGGCTTACTAAATAAGTAAAATTATTAAATAAAAATAATAGTGATTGATTAGTATATTTTCCTTTTTTATTTTACTACTGCTCAAAAGCACAGTAATAACAAACCATTACCTTCTTGCATGGAAATTCTCTGAATGCAAGTCTTCAGCATATACCTGTCAGAAACAAGTAACTATTTTGGGGAGGAGAGGGAAGTTAGGATGGGGTGTGTGCTACAGAGCAAAGGCCAGAAGCACCTAAAACTAGGTGACACACCCTTGCTTCCACATCACCATACTTAACCTGTAGTAATGAAAGCACTGTCAAGTCAGTTACAGGTGACTTAAAGATAAGTAAAGCACATGGGAGCTACATCAAGATGTTTTATTAAGCATCTGCAAACATCTTTGTGAGGTTCATTCTATTTTCTTCAGCTGCTCTGAGTCCCCAAGTGATCAGCCTGATGCAAGAGAGCTTCTGCAAGTCTTCCAAAAGGCAACTCATGAAGCCCACCTGGCATTAGAGCTGTCCCCAGATTCTTTTCCAGTTTCTCTAAGTAGGGTCTTTTATGGCCACATGATGCTGGAGAAGGAAGCATATTAAAGTTTATCCTGTTCTCTCTGGGGTTTCTGGTGTACTGCCAGTTCCTCAGCAGTCCACACTGCCTTTTGTGACCTGAGCAGTGATTCAGTGTAAAACAAGGAACGAGTAATCGGAGCACTTTCAGCTAACACAAATGTTGGAAGGAGAGTGACTGAAGGCAATGGAGAAGTAAAATTCTTTATTCCTGTAGTAGCAGGATTTATTCCCATTACACTAACTCACATCCTAGGAACAAATCCTGGAGACTTTCGCTGTTTGTTAATTTAAACACTTAACAAAACTCTCCCTCAAGAGCTGTTTTACTGTGGCTCTCTTCAGGTTTTACATACACAAAGCAGGTGGGCAAAGCACTCAGCAAACTTGAGAAATGTTTACATATTCTTTTAAACAAATTATTTCTGGTAATTCTGGTAGAAAGCATTCCCATCCCTTCCATACAGGCAGTTGCAATTTCCACTGCTTCCAGTTTATTTTCAAAGCAGAGATGGATGCACATGTGAGAGGCAGATCACCAGTGACCTTGGAGTAACTACTTCTGAATGGATCAAAATAAATTCTTCATATGCAGAGCTGTCAATTTAAAACTTAGTCCAAAAATGAGAACGCTTTGGTGCATTTCTGTGCCTACAGAACTAGGTGCAAATATTTAAACAACAAAACACATGTATATTACTACCAGATATATTCAACAGCATTACTGCTTTACAGACCATCAAATTAATTTGGAAAAGACTAATTTTATTTTAAAGATGTTTGAATATTGCTTTCAGCTACTGAGGATTTTTTTTTAATTTGTCTTCTCAATGACGAGCTGAAGAAACGTCACTTAATAAAAGTCTACCACCTGCTTTATTCAGTGCAAGATTTTTAATTTTAGCCAAATTACTTGCAAGGTATCCAAGTAAAAATTTACCTTAAAATATATTCATAATTAAAACTAACAATTAGGATGTTGTTCACCTGGGAAGACTTTTCTGGAAAGAAGAGGTTTTTCTACAGCAAAGTGCAAAATGCTGTCAGCAGCATAGTAAGGTTGTGTACTCAAAGTGTAAATACAAAACACTGAAAACCAGAACAATAAACCTCAGTTTTTCTTTATATGGTGGAATATTTTTGTTGTTTCTGACAGACTCAATAAAATGCCCAGTGTATTTTAAAAAGTATTAGAGTGGGTGATTTTGTTTTCACATTTGCATGTTGTTTGGCACTGGTGGATGGTAGTCCACAAAATACCAAGTTACCGGAAGTCCCAAGGGTACTAACACTTCTGCCTTTCTCCCCCACTTTGTTCTCCAAAACTCAAAACAAACTGAGCTATGAAGTGTACAACAAATGTGGCATTCTGTGACTCAGCCTTCTATATTCATTTAGCCTACAGTTTCACAGCTATGAAATCAAACACACACAGTATGTGAGAAAGTTTTATCATTTTAGAATCAAAATATCCCTTAAAATATTTACATTTTACAGTAAAAAGGATAGCAAAACACAAAGTAATGTACAAGCTTAGGTATTCAAGTTTTTGAAGCATGGAAAATGGTGGGAGAAATGAATTTACTACTACAAATCATTTTCAAGAATTTAGGTTAGAAATGCTTTCATATTAAAACAAGTGCAGTTTAAAGCAGTAACATTCGAGCAGCTCAGCCTTCCAATTTCTGATCACAAACTGCTTCAGACGCTTAGGAAAAACTTGAAATATAGTATAACGAAATATACTTGAGGTTTTATTGTACTACTGAATAATTTAAAAAAAACCCCAAACTTTTCACACCACTGAGCATATTACATTTTGTTGTAACATGTGGATTCTGAGGCTTTGCTGCAGTCTTTAAAAACAGTGCAATTTAAAAACAAGGTTATTGTATGAAAACTACCTTTAAAATTATCAGGGCATCTTAAAACAAAAGAGAGCACAAATTACCAAAGGCAGCAACTATATTGCAGACTTGACTAAAGCCAACTTGCTCAGCTAAGAAAATTCCTAAGCCTTTATTGCATATTAATAAAAAAAAATCTTTAAAATTTTGAATATACAGCAATGTAAAATTTTTAAAATATTAAACTCCTATTTCTAGTGATAGTTGGTATAATGAAAAAAAGGATGAGTATTGGTACATTGAGTGGTACCAAAACACAGACTTGTTTCTGCAAAACACCAACACAGAATAAAAAACAATGGCACAATCCTAGCAGGCTCTCTTTTTTTTTGTCATACAAAGTTTTACGACATTACTCTAACAGTTTATTTAAATAGGAATTTAAAAGACTGCCTGCATCTTTTTACCTTTTGCTTTTAGTTCTGTCACTGTGGTCCCTATGTCTCTCTCTGTTCTTTTCACTTTCTCGTTCTCTATGCTTGTCTTTGCTTTTCTCCCTCTCCTTATCTTTTTCATGAGCCTGTTCATCACTTTTAGGCTTCTCTGTCTTTTTTTCTGGATTTCTAGTTTCTCTGGGGCTTTTCCCATCAGCAGCTCTATCACTGTGTGGGGATCGCGCTCTTTCTTTGTCTCTCTGTCCTTCCTCTCTACTCTTCCGCTCTCTCTCTTTTTCCTGGTTTCTGTCTCTGCGCCTGTTTCTTTCAGAATCTTGCTCCCAGTATTTTTCATTGCTCCACTCTTTTTCATGTCTGTCTTTTTTTTGGTGATGGGTTTCATTGTAAAGTCTTTGTCGATCGTTTTTTCCTCTACTGAATCCTCTCTCCAAATGCTGTTCTTCTCTGCCCCAAGGATCGCTGTGGCGTCTTTCTGGTCTCCTACTGTCTTTACCCTGAAAAAAATTTTCTGGTCCCAAAAATCTTGATTGTTTGTGAGCCACTGGTAGCCCTTGTGCAATGGGTCCGGCATACTGTGGTGGCTGACCTGACAAATGAGCTACTGGTGGCCATGGCATCATTGGATTTTGAGGAAAACCAAAGCCAGGAGGAGGAAGAAGCGGAGGTGGTAAATGAGGAGGAAATCCAAACATAGGGTTGTTTTGTGGAGGGAAGTTATGAGGTGCAGGAGCCTGGAACTGAAATCCAGGTGGATTAGATTTAGAATGCTGAAAATTCTGCTGTGGAGGTCCAACAGATGAGAAGCTGCCACTTGCCATAGGGCTTGGGACTTTGGAAATAAATTCAGAACGAGAAGAGTTCTCAGTTTCAAAATGAGATGAAGTTGCGCCTGGTCCTCTTCTAAATGAGTTCATTGTTTCAATGTTTTTCATCAATCCATCTTCCTGTGAGTGTTTGGTATCTTCTGGTTGTGATGCAACTGTGTTATCTGCCTTAGCTGCAGCTGAACTGAACTGTGTCTCATTGGTTTGTGCTTCACTTTGATACAGGTTTAAGCCCCCTTCTCCACAAAGTGGTTTATTCTCTGGTTCTCCTTGATCATTTCCTGAAGCATTTTGTCGGTCTTCATTTCTGCTAACATCTCCATCCTTGACTTCTGAAATATTAGTCTGCTGGCTTCGTCCAGCTGCCTGTCGTGGGTCTCTTTTAAGATTAATAAATGGTGGTGATTTAGAGGTATTAGCAGTAGTACCCTCAGCAGAGGGTACATTAACATTGCTCTCACTGTTTTTTTTTCCTGAAGTTGATGAGGAAGAAAAGCTTGAATTTGTGCTCCTTCTAACTTCCTGTGCAACACTATCCTTGTCCGGTAACTGTCGCTTTGGGTCATTTTCTTTACTTTCTTCCGTTTCTTTATTCTGTGCCTGAGCAGACAAATTTGCTAAAAATGCTTCTGTGGAGACATCTGGAGGCTTTCCCTTAAGACTCAGTCCTATCAAAGAACCAGCAATTCTTGCAGAGCTTGAGGTCCCTACAGCCACTGCATCCACAGTTACAGCTGCATTAGTGGATTCTTGAGGATCATCCAAACCAGCCTTTGCTTCACCGACTTCAGCAGTTACATCAGCAACATCCCTGGTTTCTTCTTTCAAGGTTGCCTGTTCATTTAATAATGGTATGTCTTCACTAGGACCTGCTTCTGACTTGCTGTGCTCATACCCCTGCCCTGTCGTACCCAAAAGGCTTTGAAGAATATCATCCACTGGCAACGGTTTATTTGCAAGCTCCAGCGTAGAAGGCTGATTTTCCCATCCAACCAGGACTCCAGGAAGAAATCTGAGAGGCTTTGGTGGTTCATGTTTGGTACTTTCCACCAACGGTTCAATAACTGCTGGAGCATCGTCTGCATTAGACTGCTGTGGTTTATTTCTCTGCTTGTGTAGCACAGTTGTGAAGGAATTAAAAAAATTATTTTCCTCCTCCTCTTCTAGTGCCAAATCATGATGTGAGACTTCAGGTTTGCTTGGCTTGCTTTTCTTCTCTGGTGGCAAGCTACTCAAGGTACTTTCAGCAGCTTCATCTGCAAAGCTACTGGTAACACTTGAAACAGCAGTAATCTGCCTCTTCATTTTCTGGCGAATTATCAATCCCAGTAATAAATTTGGTCGATGTATTTCAATCCCTGTACAAAATTGCAACAGCAATTTGTCATCTCTTTGTATTTTGGTTAAGGCAATAATTTTAACAAAAATAACCCCCATATACTTACAATGCACTATCAGAAGTATTAATCTTGTGGTATTTGAAATTGTTCTGCTTGCCATGTTAAACATTAACAATACTTAAAATAATAAAAATATGTATTTCCAGTGTTAAAAGTATGACTTCAAGCACTGCAACTTAAAATTGGTTCAAGTACACTGTAACTTCCAAATAGAGAATATGAGACAGATAAGACATCTAATCTCATCAAAAACAGAACATAAATTAAACATCAAGTTAGTCTAATCCAGCTATAACATGGTAACAGTGGTAGCAAAGTATGATAGGGTAAAAAAGTAAACAGAACCCTGTTTACTTTAAACTTTTGTTTAAAGTCTCCTCATCAATTTGTGTTAGACATACTTCTTCAAAGATTTACCAAGAGCAAATTTCAAAAATGTTTCCCTCATTCGAGGAAAGGCACTGTGTTTCAAGGCATACTATTACCCATTTCTTCACTATCTATTTTGTTCTGTATAACAGGAAAAAAAAAATACTTGCAGCTCATTCTCTCTTACTTTTGGCCCTGACTATCTCAAAAAGAAAGATTATCTTCAAATGTTTATAACCAAGATAAACTGATGCAAAGTAACTCAGGTGTACCACAAATCAACTGAGAGCCATTTCAGGACCTTTTCTTTCTTGTCAATCTATGTTTTAAACTTTCAATGTATTTCTTGTAAGAAACTTTGGAATACTTGAGAAAAAAGATTAGTACATTTCAAATAATGAAAAATACTATTTTAAACTGATAGTATCAATTTGGAACTTATGCCTTCTACCATAGTCCACTTGTGTGACTCAGTTTCTAACACTGAAACCTACAAAGTCCCCTGTGTTAGAAAAAGAAAGTAGTAGACATAAAACAAAGTGGTAAACACTAACCTTTTCATCTTTGAGTATCACAATAATCTAGCAAGGGGAAATTAATTTCTTTGAAATTAATTAAAAAGTGTTATTATACCCATATAACAATTCTTTGAAATTAAGTAAGTTTCCTCTTTTCAAGGAAACTAATACTGTAGAAAACTAATTACATATTTGAATAGCATTTTTAGATTTTATTTCCTCTTATATTTCTGTTGCCAACTTCTTTAAGTAGCGTTATGATAATAAAATTCCAAATTCCAAGCTGAACTTACCAGGCCCATCAAAAGGCACAAGGTGATGAGGGACTTTATCTGAGGAACCTAAAGGGATGAGGTACAAATCTTTCACTTGCTTCATATTATTGGCCGCTACACCATAACGTTTTCTGCTGCTGAAATAGGCAAACAACAATGCATAGGAGATCTGATCTTCTTCAGTTACTGGGGTAAAGCGAACCACGCAGATCTCCTGTTTACAGAATGAGAAGGAAAAAGATGGTCAAGAATATTTTTCTGTGAAATGTTTTGTTTTGTTTTTTTTTTAAACTGACTGCTCTTTATTTAAAACAATGGTGCTGAGGAGAAAAAGCTATGCCAAAATGGCAGAGGACAGAAGAGACAGAAGGAGCAGAAACATGGCCAAAAATAATCCAGAATTAGATAAAACAGGTAGAAAGCATTTAGTATGAAAAAATTAATTGAAGTACATGACAAAAAAGCCAGTATTTTAACAGCCAGCTAAATAATAAGTTTCAACGAAGCTTGCCAGCTTCCAATGAATTATTCTACTCTCTACCCTTAACATTACTAGAAAGCTGTGTTTTGTAGTCTGTTGTGTCCAATACATCCATTAGTAATAATGGAAGACCAGTATTGAGATCCCAGAATTATAATCCTAAACCCAGCTTAGGACCTGATGCTGTTTGAACAGCCTGGAAGATTGGGCAGAAGAGCCTCTGCAAAACTGAGATGGCACCTAAGCAGGCTGAACTCTGTCAATATCAGCAAATTCACAATGCAAAATCTTGCACTTTGAGCAGGAGTAACCACATGCACCAGGACTGGCTGGAGGACTGATTGGCTGGAAAACAACTTGGCATAAAATGATGCGGGAATCCTGGTGGACAGGCCCAGTATGAACTGGTGATGCATCCATGCTAAAAAGGCTTACTGCTATTTGGGTGTCAGAATCAAAGCAGTCAGCACACCAAGAGAAAAGGTATGCCTTTCTATCCAGCACTTGTGAGACACCACCTGGAAAGGACTTCCAAGTTTTGGGCTCCCCAGCACAAGGACAACTGGCTCACAGTGGGACAAGTCTGGCAAAGAGCCACTGAGATGGTTTTACACAATATAACACTACTGAAAATGAGAGAGTAGCACTTGAGATGTGAAGTGGTATCCAAACATTCCTGATGAGTTACTGTGTCAAACGAAGACAGGTATTCTCCAACAGCAGGTGACAGTTTAAGGTTAGGTAGGAAGAAAAAATAAATGCCAGCAGCTACCACCCATCCCATTCAGCATAACCATGAGATATTCCTAAAGTTCACATATTTTGCAAATGTTTCAGAGAGGAAAAAACCAAGTATCTTTAAAATTACTAAATGAATATTAAAGAGCAAGTCTTTACTAGGTAAAATTCTTACCTTGGTCCCTGAAGCTTTGATTTTTTCTACGTAATCCCAGACAGTGTGGGGAGATATCCTGCCACCTACTTGAATGCTATCAGGCAAATCCTATGAGAAAGGACAACAGAAATGTGAATCCACATAAATCTTGGAGTATGTCCTTCATCCAATATCTGTTTCATAAAATTCAAAACATACTTAGTTCTTTTATTTCTTAAATTGTAATTTAAAAGTATCAGTAGAAGTTACAACAGAAGAAAAAAATCAAATTTTGGACATTTTAGATTTTCAGTGCAAAGTTAACGATATGTAGTAAATTAGTTATCATTCAATATTGTTCATCTATACCTTACCAAAACTATCCCTTCTGGTAACATTAACTGCAAATATAACTGTACTGTGCTCTGGGAACACTCAAGCTGTCCATCACATCACACCATAATGAGCTCCACACCTATGTTTACCTATGAAACTTCAAAATCTTCATCATGAGGGGAAAACATAACCTACATGTGCACGTATATAAAGATGTAAATTCTTGGATACTACTGAGTTCACTGTTCCCAAGAAAAATAAACAGACTTTCAGAAAAATATTTTTTTAAAAATAAAATAGAAGTTTTGAAAAGCGTTAATATACTCATATAACAATCCTTTAGTATTAAGGATTACTGCATGGCCTGCACTTCCCTGAAGATCTACAGCAAAGTGAAGACAATCTTATTAACAGAAGACCTAGGTTCTTTTAATTAGAAAGCTGATGCATCCTATGTAGCTATCAAGAAGGAAAATTGTGCCTTGCAAGCTCTCTGATCTTTATTTTGTGATATGAAGACAACTATTATAAGCAGCTACATGCTTTTCCAGTCTCTCAGACACAGAAGAGAATGTTACATAAACTTTTTTTTCAGGGACAATTGAGTCATAATGCAAGGTCAGAACCAGAATTACCACCAGATGGCAAAAAAACCCAAAAAACTTTCTGTTTCACAGGTTTCTGTTACAGATGGGAAGATGAACCAGAGGTTCATGAAATCAATAATGCTTGACTTAAAAATATAGACCTTAACCTACGTCCTCCCACAAATACTTCACTCAGTATAATGATTATGCCTTACTGTCTTCCATCATTATACTAATATTAGGCTACAAAGTAAATAAGTTGGTAAAATTAATAAATGAATTGTTCATACTTTTCAATAAATATAAATACCTCTGTTAAATACTCAAAGGAGCCAGAAACTGGATAAGCCTTAATAACAAATTTTGCTACTGAAGGCATATTGATAAAGCCCTTCCAGATGAAATTCAGGCGTGCCAGAAACAGACTTTCACATTCCACAGTACCAGGCGTTTCTGACCTAAAAAAAGGAAAAACAAAAAACCCACTCAGTTTACAACATGATATATCATGCAAGACAGTGTAAATCCTAATTTTTCTTTATCACAGAAATGTAGTATGATCAAGAATTTTCTTTTCCAGTTAAACATACTAAAGGGTGCTCAAAAAAAGACAGGCAGACAACCATGTTTCTTATCTTCCAGTAGAGTACCTCCATTGTACAGGAATAGTGAGAGGAGCAGCACATTAGTTTACTAGTCAATATTTTTTAAAAACAGAGAAGTTCTTTATTCTGAGAATTATCAGATGCTATACTGAAAAGGACACAAATACATACAGGTGTTGCAGAGCCAAAAAGATGTTCCCCTGCTGGCCTATACTGCTTTCCTAACTCCTACATTTTGTGCCACCACTGTCTGTCTACCACCTGAATGCCTGTGTCACCCTACTCTCTCCTTGTACCACAAGCTGGCTCCTCATGTCTACTCAGCTATGCATCACTTCCACATCTTCTGTGTCTCCTCCTAATTCCACTTGTAAAAAAACGGTTTTTCCTGCCTTTGAAAAAAAGCCTCAGTTTTGTCAACAAAGCAGCAGAAAAAATTAATGGGATGACTTAATTTAACAGGAGAATGTTTCTCAACCTGAGAGTTTCCTTATGAAAAAGATTACACATTTCAACATTTCCCAACATGTTGCTATCAAAATATTCTAAGCATGCTATCAGCAGTTTTAAGCTGCCCAGTAGTACCAGATGTTGTGCTGTTACAGTAACACAGTAACCTACGTTTATTTCTGTCTGCACTGGAAATTACTTTGGACTTGCTGTAAGCTATTCAAAAAACAAAGTTCACTATCCTTGGTAAAAGATCACACTGTCCTGATAAAGGCAAAATTTCAGCATGAACTCTGGTCAATTCTAAATAATTGGGAGCTGATGTTTTTCTCGAATAAGCCTCCCTCACACCAGAAAGAAACAGCCTCAAAAACTGCAATTTCCTTTTTAGTGCATAGCAGAGTGTGGAAGAAAATTAAGAGAGATCTGACAGCAAATACAGCAAAACATCAAACAAAGCTGCTGTTATCTGCCATTTCTAGAAAAGCACTACTTTGGAATTTGAAACTAGCCTGATTTATGAGTGTAAATGCTCTGTTTAGAGCATTATCAAATTTCCTGAATTTATATATATACGAATATACAAAGACACACTTATTTAAATGCAGCACTATATATACACACTACATGCCTTAACAGAAAAAGACAATAAGAAATTTATATACTGATTTTTTGTAATATGAACTCTTTTTAAACCTTGCTGGACCAGAAAACATTGGCTTTTTGGGAAAAGTAAACTATGTGGTAATTATAAGTTTGCAATCACAACAATATATGTAGTATTATGTATATAGATGAACAGCATTTACTCCAGCAGAGAACTCCGCTCTAAAAATGTATACGACTTCAAGTACTGCAATGGACAAATGAAATGCCATTAAAAAAGTAGCTTTAGACATAATAGCTTAACAATATTAATAATGTCTTTCATTTAAAAATACTGTTTCTACAGCTTATATTACTTTGGGAGAGGTGTGAATGACTTTGATGAGTCTTGCTTATCATCTTCTAGTAATTCTGAAGCTAAAATACTTGACGTGGAGGAGAGTGCGTCTGCAATGCTCTCTGCTTCGTTGTCGGACTGCTTCCGTGCAACTCCAACAGACACCTTCACCTTCTTCCCTGACAGATCATCAGTAGGTGGTGCCATCCGGCCTGCAGAAAAGGAAGCACAAGGGGTTTTATTTTTTATTAAAGAAACAAAAGGAGGACTTCCTCTGAACACAAGGAAGACACACCAAGAATACTACATATTGCTACTGAAGTGGGATTGGCTACATATTTCACATATATTTATACGCTGTATAAATTAATATATTGTATATCTTTATACCATACTAAACATAATTTTGTCACTGCAATGGCACAGGATAAAGAAATGAGCAATCAACAGTAGTATGTACATCCACCACATGGACTGCATTCTCTGAAGCTGTTTTTTTAAAAGAAGATAAGTTTATGCCAATAGACTAGCCTTTTAATAGTCTCTTGTAAATGATGAAGCAAAACATTCCTTGCACAACTTCAGCAGCAAACAAAGTAAAAACCCACATTTATTTAAATTCTTGAGGTATACTGAGATATATGACTGAAAATTAAAGAAGTGCAATCTATTTATTTTCATGTGCTTTCCCAAATTACCTATGCAGATTTTGCAGTTTAGATCAAAGAGATGATTTTTATGTTGACTTGTGGTGTCCGGAGATGCAGATTCATTTATTTCTTTATCCTTTTCAGCTTCTTCTGACTTCTCAAACAATTTTGTATTAGGTTCCTAAGGAAAGTCAAACACATTTCAGTTAGGCTTTTTTAATCCCTCTGTTAATATTCCTAATATTGTTTAAAAGTTTTATGGCATTTTCCTCCCTTCTGACATAAAGCTCTTCCTTCAGCTGCATAGCCTAAAATACTATCAAAAAATGTTCAAATTTATTACAATAACTAATTGGTATTCTCAAATATATTCAGGTACTATTTCGAATATTTTCTAGTATCTGCTACTGCCAGAATTCATCATACAGACACAACATAGAAGGAAAGAAAACAACAAAATCACTAGGCCAAGAAGTTAGTAAAGATAAAAGAAATACAGATAATTACAGACTTGAACAACAGAATCATAAACAAACACCTCACAACTATATTGCCTATGAACTAAGCACACTGTAGTGTTATGCTTTCTTTTCTACCTGAATTTCCATAACTTCCTCTTGTTCTTTCATCGGTGTCTCACTTTCAATTTCTATTTCTCCTTTGTGAGTAATTTTTGTGATAGGTCTTCTTTCAACCTCCCTCTGCTCTTTCTCAATCATTTCAATGGTCTGTGAAAACAAGTAGTTATGTGTAATTATTCTCATACAGTAAAATTTGGAAATCCAGAAATATGAGATAACAGAATTGCAATTAGGAAACCCTCGAGGAAGAAAAGTAATACATTCTTATTTTGCAAGTGTCAAGTAGTTTCATAAAGCAAACATGGAAGTAGCTGAACTTCTCCTACAGTGTAGCAGCAAGTACTTTCCAGGCATGCATTTAAGTAAGTTATAAAGTAAACCTTCAAAACTGAATTAAAATACCAGTAATTCTGATTTTCCAAGAACTAAAGAAAAAAACACATCCATTATTTTCCCATAATAATAGGGACAATGTAGGACATAAATAAATGTAAATTTGTGTCATTTTTCAACATTTTGTTTTTTAGTACATAAACCGAATGCTTCACCTCAAGAAAAAACTTAAACATTTTTTTAAAGCAATGGAGATGCTAATTCCAATAGCACTGCTGCTTTGCTTAAAATAAAATATAGACCATTATATTGCTGTCTTGCTTGAATTTTATTGCTGTCTTGAAGTAAAATAAAATATAAACCATTATTTCTATTATTGCCTCTTAAAGCACATTTCCATTTCTTACACCAGAAGGGATGGTGTTGGTTATGCCAAATATCTCAAGCCTAATTTACTAAGAAAACAAGAATTCTATGATTGCTTTATCCATCTGAAAAATACCAACATACTTATGAACATCCTGGGGAAATAAAAAAATTATTAAGTAGCAGTCTCAATGCCTTGCTTAAATAGTAACATGGAAAATACAGTCAAGTGATACATCACTATTTATTTTAGATGTTTCTAGAAATTTTGAAGCGTTTCTCTGAAATAATTAGGACCCTTCAGCAATTTTTTGAGCAGCATACACTTTTTTGGGAAGATATTTCTCATAGCAGTGGAATTTTATTTTGCATGGTCTGTTTTCAGAATTTCACTGATGTTTATAAAAATAAATGTAAAAAAGTTCCACTACAAAATATGGTCTTTGGATAGATACAGAATAAACAAACTTTTCATTCTTTCTAGGCCCTTGAAACAAGATAACAAGTGTTTTTCCACAGAAAGTAACAAAAAGTTATCATGATTCATAAGTCTAGCCACAACATGCAATGACAAGGAAAAAACACAGGAATAACTACTATTGCAAAGCATCCCACTCTACTAAATTAGTTATTACCAAACAGTCATTCTGAGTACACAGATAAATTTACACTACCCAAGCATCGTGCTTTTAAGTTTTATGATGTGGAATATGAATCCCAACAATCCTGTCAACATAAATCCAGATTTTGTAAACTAGAAAATGTTTAATGGCCATTTCTAAGCAGCTGCAGTTATCATCAGACTAAATGCCCAATAAATGGAGCAATGTCTAACAAAAAGGAATTTTCTATAAAAATACAGATCCTCTTATTCCTATTTCTCCTTCTAAAATCTCAGCACAGTACACTTTCTGTTTCGAGAAGTCATCCCTAAGCTAACCTAGTAAACTTCCTCCACTTCCTTAGGTTTCTTTTGCTGCCTGGTTTTTTTGTTTGTTGTCCCTTTAGGCTGCTTTTCCGACTGGTAGATCAGGTTTTCAGCTCTGGATTTACTTCTTGGGGACTATTTGTAACGCATCAGCAGTAAGTTAGAAACAACACCAGTTTGTTCTGGTTTGGTTTGCTCAATATCTGTTTATCCCTCTTTAAGAAACTGGTGTTTATAAAGCTCCAGCAACAGCTTTAAAATCTTGTGGAAAGTAAGGACAAAGAAGCCTTCCTTGAGACAGAAAGAAGAAAGAGCCAGCAGCAACAAAGTTGCAAAGCAAAGGATGGTTGCCTCCCCTCAGAAATTGGCTACACTCCTTTCACTTCTGTCCTAACATCTCTGAGTTTTGAGTACTAAATTAATTACAGAGATACTCCTGCTTGGTTGCAACACCCATTCTGTTCTTTCTGCATATATGCAACCTGCAAACAGAAGTTATACATGCATAAGCTGTCAAATAAACAATGTAAGTTGACAAATCTCACATGTCTGTTTTCTCTCTGTCTCCAAGCAGCCAGTTCTTTGGAAGCCAATTCTTCTGGGCTCATTTTTATTAGATGATCTGGAGTAACCTCTCCTTTAAGTACTTTCTTAAACAGTATCTAGAAAAAAGAAGAAAAGTAACTGTTGCTATCAAGACAAAAATAGCTCACAGTAGGAAATAAATCAGAGAAGTAACATACAACATGCTCTATACAGCTAAATGGAGTGTGCGGGTTTGTAATTATTTCCACTCCAGGAAGCAGTACTAGATTTTATAACACAAAAAGCTTCATCCCAGAGCTCCATTTATTCTACATAACAATGTATCTACACATACCCTTAATGATTAAAGATACAATTAACTGCTGCTTCAAAGGAGAAAGAGTTTATATGCCCACTGCAGCAGTAACTCAGAAAGCTTACTGTTTTTGTTTTTAAAGGTGCAAATCCTCTGCATTACACAACAAAGAGAAGCTATCAAAGGGGATATCTATGCTTCCAGACTAAATGAAGTCCTAGGGTAAAAAAAAAGATAACCAACTACTTTAGCAATATGAGCAAAGAGCAAACAAAAGTTAACTCTAAGACAAAAGCTAAGTTCTTACAATTGGCTAACTGTAATGGCAAAATACTATAAACAACGTGACTTGATCAGAATAACTGATGAAGGACAAAAGACAAAAACTGAGGAGGTACGATGTTAAATAATGTGCTCATAGAAAGCAGAAGAGTGAAGACCAAGCTTGAGAAATCTGGGTATTAAAAAGCACAGTGAGGAGATCCTGGACAGAAAAACAGTAGGTGTAGTAAACAGCAAAGAATGATGGAGGGGGGCAGGAATATCTAAATAACGGCAAAGGGAAAAACAAACTAGGCAGGCCATATCTACTATAGTTTGAAACCAAACAAACTGTACACTGGGAGCAAGTAGTTGGAGAATTAATGATGGGAAAGAACACGGAGGACACTCAGTGCCCAAAGAAAAACCAACATCAAAAAACCAAGGAAACCTAAAAAAAAAGCCCCAAACTGCAGAAGAATTGATAATGTTCCTAGATTGAAGACTGTTCCTTTAATCTACAGCAAATCAAGAATTTCTGCAAAGAACAACAGACAAATCACACATACATTATTCTTAGGATCTTTGAGATTGAACATTAAACTTCTGTATTTGTTCTTATACTTCGCATCAGTGTCACGAAAAAAAGAAAACAGCTCTCTTTCAATCCTCGTGGCAACTTTTGCTGCTCTCTCCTCAGGAATCTTTAAACTGGAGTCTGTCAATCTGTAAGAGAACACAATGGCAAACATTACAAAATGCATCCAAATAATGAACAGTTTTTCCTCTGCTTTCCCAAGGAAAATATTTATAAATACAAATTAATAATTTAATGTCTTAATGTATCTTTACCTTTTCATAAGAATTTCCTTAAGAGATTGCTTAACGCTTTGTCTTATCTGATCAGCAGAAGGCTTGGAAGCTGGCACAGCTGGCAGGTGTGTTGCGCTAATGGATCCTTTCTCATTTTTCTTTTTCTTAATTTCTTGTTTCTCATGCACACCTAACAAAACACAGTTAAAAACTGTAAAATACTTAAGTAGGTTTATTTATAATCTTTTGCTGTCGATGGAATTATTTTAATAAAATTTTATTTTTAAACTGCTAAGAATTAATCCTCAAGAAAAAGGACTGGACCCCTAGGATGGATGGTTTGCGTTTGGTTGGGTTTTTTTTAACTTTGGTTTGGATTACTTAGAGTAATCCAGAACAAAAACCTCCTTAGCAGAAACAAGGAGTTTGCCCTTTGATTTGCAGTATTTTCTTCTACACTAAATTAAGATGACCAGTGCTCATTCGATTGATCATGAGTATGATTTTTGACTCTAAATTTTTGTGACAGCACAGATTCAGTTTTCAATGAATAAAGTGAGAAATAATATACTATGAAGCACATATAAGCATAAGCTTTACTTTAAAATGCCATTTTACATTAAACTTAACATTTCTGCATCTGTTAGCCATCAAAATTATTTAAACCATAATAATCTCATCTTCTGATTCAGGTAACACTCAAGGTCATTATAATGTTTGTGTCATAAATAATTCAAATAATGGGTAAGTCTTATCAAACTAAAATCATTAAAGAAAAATTACTAATTTTCAGAGAGTCAACTGAAAGCTCATTTGTCTCAGCATGTGAACATGTCATTAATTTTAAGCAGCACCCTTCAATTCAGGGAAGAAATGGTAACTAAGTAATATTAATTTTTTCATTTTATAGTCCTAAAAACAAATTGAAGACTGATAAAGATTTCTAGAATGCATCAGCACTGGCAAAAGACCAGAAGAGCTAAGTTAGGTATTTTTAGACAAAAATTCAAAGCTTGAGTTTCAGAATAAAAGACACAATTCTCACACAAAATCTCACTAGCTTTGCTGCTGAGATTTCAGTCCCAATTAACAACTTCACATTATAACGACCTTAAAAGAAAAATGATTCCTGGAAGGGAGCTGGGGAGAGGAAAGGTTGCTGGAAGGGTAAATATGTCCCTTCAACCTTTCAAATGAAGTTTAGATGCAAATCTGATGATTCACCAAGTAACATAATGTTCCCCTCTGAAATGAGTTGACAAAATTGTCAACTTGTTAATTATTATCAAAAGATATCAGTAAGTCAAAATATAATTTATACAGCAATTAAACTAGTTTTATCCATACAAAGCATTTCATAGTATTTTAGGAAAGAGTATTTCAAAGTCTCATACAATGCAAAATAAAGTTTAACACAGAGATGTCTTTGTACCTTTTCTCACACTTTTGATTATGTGAGCATCCTCTACTATAGAAACAGGAAATATACATCTACCTAGGACATATCTACCTACTAAATAAAACTGAAAACAAAACGAGAAATAAAGATCAAACAAACAACTCTTCAGATCATCATCACATCTACTAGGTATAATCCTTCTCTATACACAGATGTGAATTGCAGCATGGAGGACATCCCCAAACCTTGGTACCTGATTTTGTGGACCTTTCCACTGTACTGAGGGATTCTTTACTTATTTTTTCATTTTTATCTTCAGGGGACCGCCGAGGAATTGCAGCAGTTTGTGATCCCTTCCGAGCAGGAACATGCTGCCCTTTTTTAGTATCTGAGTCTCTGGACTCTGGTAAATTCTTCCCATCCCCAGATTCCTGAAAGAAACATTTACACATGTTAGCATGCTTCTGAAGGCTACAATCAACTTCTTTGCAATTATCACATATTTTTCCCATTTTTTCCTCTTTACACTGTACAATATATCCCCTGGATGTATGTGTCACCATATAATTTTCTAAAGAATTACTGAACAATATCCCAAATTACTGCCAAGCATTGCTTAACAATCTCTTTTAAATATTGGCTTAAGATACAGCACAGACAATTTGCATTTAAGCTCTGTGTTGACAACCACTAAGTCTGCAGTTATTTTAATAAGTCAGGAATACCGATGAACATCCTTTAACCAGTTTTAGCCACAAAGGTCAATGAAGTTTAGAAAGCCTATGTAAATTAAAATTTAAAAGAACAGTTTATATTCCAGAATTTCAATACTACCACTCAGAAATAAGACAGGCTTATTGATGATTACATTATCATGAATATGACATTATATACGAACAAACTGAAGAACTGTCTCAATAATCTTTGTAAATTATCCTTTGGTTAGTAAAATTAGACATAAAAAGTAGAAAAACCCCAATCAAAGCACTAGACATTTCTTTCTACGTACAATCTGAAATAATAACAATCAGAACTAAAATACTGATGTTGTACTGTTTCCTATTGTTTATCTGCAGCTTATAACATATAACAAACTGACAGACGTCCTATAACATGTCTAGAAATCTGAAAGAAAAATGCACAAGGTTCTTCATAATTTCTTTGTACATCTGCATGTATAGATTTATATACACATACAGGAGTAGGACTTCAATGATCTTTATGTGTCCCTTCCAACTTGGGATGCTCTATATGCATATGACATGAACATATCCCTGCTCAGTATAAGAAGAGTTTAGCAATACCCTCTTGGAAGAGTCAAGCCACTTAGAAAATGAAGCAACTTTGTAAATAATTTAGATTCACAAAGATGTCTGAAACATGGTCTATTAATTGGCAATGGCACAGGCAAAAACCTTCTTACCCCAATAAATTAAGAGAACTTAACACATTAAATAAGACTCACCCGTCTGAAGATTTTGACTTTGTGCTTCCCAGTGTCCTCAGTTTGCTTTGTTTTTTCAGTAGTTGTATTTAGATTACAAGTAGGTGTTTGCTTTGACACCCCCAGTTTTTCACACTCACTTACTTTTTCTTCTTTATGCTCAAGTTTCACTTGAGTATCTGGTACATTTTGATCAAAACACTCCATTTTTTTGTCTTCTTCAGCACAGCATTTCACACACACATACTCTTTATCTTCTTCACCCATCTGCTGTGCTTGAGAAAGGCTCAGTCCAACACAATCACCATGAAACCAATCATCACATCTACCACAGCCTACCATAAACCTGAAAACAAAGTAAGATGTAAGTCAGTGAAAACTGTGAAAGACTATGAAAGAAGATACAGCACCTTCAGCAGGATATATCATAATTGTTTTGATTTGTGCATCTCAATTATTTGTTCTTACCTAGTAAGTGATTTTCTTTGGTGCTTTACATCCATCTCCAGCCTTACGACATGGTATGACCTTCCCAAAATGGTTTTTTGCCTTTTTGCTTTTTACAGTTGTCCAAGAGACTATCAAAACCTCACAGTGTTTGTGTAATTTGCTCCCAAATCCTACCAAGTTTCTTTTCAGACAACTATCAATGTTCTTATGAATGTTAAAAAACAAAACCAAAAAACCAGCAATTCTCAGAAACAGTAAATATTTGAAAATACTTGAAAATTTTCTTGCAAGATATTATCCTTGCTTTCCTACAAATATGATGGTCATCATTCATCACAAACACATCAGCAGCTGCAATCTTCCGCAGCAGTACGAGGTCTTTAAATGTTTTGACAAACAAAATGGGCGCCATCAACCTATTCCAAATTAGTTGGTATTTTACATCTCATTCCTTAGACCATTACTACTAAATTATTTCTAGAAAGCTGCTTTTCATTCTCTTTACTGGTGAATATGGGGCCAGGAGTTTGGCTTCCAAAACCACCTCTCCAGCTTGCAGTGACCGTTTTCTTTAAAACATGGTACACACTTTTGTGCTACTCAGCCATTTTATTCAGAGCAAAGTTAAAGAATGCTGCAAACACCAAAATTACTATCTTTTAAAGGATACCCTTCAACTCACTTAACTGCATTATTTTAAAAACAGAATCAACTTCAGATACAGATAGTACTTTCAAAGCATTGTAAAGATCATTTGGTCTAAAATAAAAGCATAATTTCTGACTATTTTGTGGAAGCCTTTTGAAAACTTCATCAGGTATCATGAACACCTAATTGGTACAATTTACAGTGCAAGTATTTGGGAATGATGTGGAATTTCAAAGTTTCACAGGCTAAAAACCAACTACTTCAGGAGACTTACATGGTAGGAATTATTTTTTACAAATAATGAATCTAGCACCAAGGAACAGCTTTCAAATGGTGTAGAAAGATCTCCTACAATATCCACTTACATTCTCTTTCCCCCTTCATATTTTTGACGAGGCAGGGGAGAGATTGTTTATTGTTTTCTCTGTGTGGTTTTGTTCGTTGGGGTTTGTTCAATTTTTACTTATTCATTTTGTTTTATACTTACATGAACTATATTCAAGATATATACTTTAAGATATAGTCCAGATGAAGAAAATCCAGAAAGACTCTAAGTGTATTAAAGAAAGTAGAAGTTCCTTGGTAATACTAAAAAATTATTTACTGAATTCCTAGGTTTTGAGTTTCATAGAAGACAGACCTGATTTAAAAAGTAATTAATGAAAACCTGGTTGTTTCAGCAATATATTTAAGAGCTAAATACAGTGACCTGAAAACCCTATTTCTTTAACCTAATACCTTATAGATCTCTTCCGTAAGACGATTCTAAGCAAAATGATACCTAACTTAGGTATATCCCCACTCAGGCTAAGATCTGCTATCTGCTGACTTACCTACTTGGCAGAACCATATAAACATTACAAAATGTGCTTAGAGCAACTCTCATTCTCCAGAACTGTAAATGAATGTTCCAGGCAGCTTGATGCAGGTATTGTATTAAAAAACTACTTTTACCTCAGAGATGAAAGCTCTTATTAACAGCAGACATTTGAAACAAAAGAAGAAAAAAATGTGTCTTTATATTCTGTCCCACCCTACTCAAAATATATCAGAATGACATTTAGGTGAAGATGAGTCTGAAGTTTTAGAGGTCCTTTAGATTGAGAAAAAACCTATGATGATGTTTTCTAGATTTGAAGAAACTAGTTTTTAAACTAGTTTGGGAAGAAAAATATTCCTCATTTTGAATCTTCTTTTTCTGAGCTGCAAGTACATTAATAGTATTACTTGTCACTAGCAAACAGTATCTGCCCATCTACTTCATAATTTTAATTAGAAAGGCAGAGGTTCCTTTATTTTTTTCAGTATCTCCATCTTTTCAGATTTATGTTCCAGCAAATTGCAAGAACAAGAAAGGTAATGTTAGGGCACAATTACTCCTGATGGTCTCAGCAGAGTAATACCACAACATTTATAAACACAACAGTAAAACAAGAAAGAAGTGACAGGACTGCTACACACAGCTCACTGCTCCTTTCTGAGAGCCTGGAGCCACACATGCACAGGGAGGAAATGTAAGGTGAGTGCCTATTTCATAAATGCAAGGGTCCACAGTGGGTGCTTTACACAGAACACATCTTGTACCGCTGCAATAAAATACTACTAAAGCTCTAGGAACAATGAAACTGGTTACAAAATTTCCCCATGTAAGATTTTTCTGCAAAAGCTGAAATAAAGTCAAACCACACAGCCAAAGCATCGTGCTTAAAGAGTGTTTTAGTGTTCTAAGGAATTAATGCCTGTGGTTCAAAACCAAAAGGAAACCAAGAATACACCATCATGAAGCCACAACTGCTATTAATTGAATTTTTATTAAAATATATGGGTTTTTTTCCTCAGTTTGTAAATTCATGCATCAGAGACTAGTTTGTTATACGAGGAAGATGGATAGCAGCATTTAGTAACCAAAACAAACTTTTGATTCATATTTAGAAAACGGATATTTGCTGAAGAGACTGCACTGAAATACACAAGATGCTGCGCACCTTCAACTTTAAATGGATAGCACATGGAAATTTTCAGTTTAGCTCACACATATTAAGGGGGGTTATAGAGATGGTGTGTAAGTCAGTCACCAGGATAGGTATCCAGTCTTATATCTTTATTTTCAGGTCTATCAAATAAATAATAAAAATTTTAAAAGTCAAAAAACCCTACAATGAATTCAGCTCAGGAAAGATCATTCTTCACTAAGACTACACACTGAGAGAGAGGTCATTCAAGCAAACTGCTGAAGGTGGAAGATTCATTTGGCTTCATTCCAGTCTTCACAACAAGGTTTTAGTTACACTATATTTTAACATACACAACAAAACTTCAAAATTCAGGATTAAGAAACCAAGACTACAAAAATAATCAGGAAATGTCCATGATGCCTGCTCTATACAATATATTGTTTACAATTGTTTTGTTAAACCTACTTATACAAAACGGTAATAAAAATACTTGTGCTGCCTGCCTAAAAAAATTCACTATTTCTATGACTGGGACCTTTTTTTCACACTACTCAAATGCAAGACTGCAACTTTTGAGGCCGGGAGACAACATACTGATTTTGATACCAGTAATGCAGATAATCCTTTTCACCGTAAGGCCACTTGTACATCTCTGCCTGTTTCTCTCATCTGCACACAAAACAACTATGATATGTAGCAATCAATTATAATTAGGTAAGGGGAAATGATCAAATTAAATAAGGCAGTCAAGAAAAACTGAAGCCTGGTTTGAAGGCTCAAGGATATCCTTTTGCACAGATGTTTTTTTTTTGACTGAAGCGGTTCTGGTATCTTGGACTAGTAAAACATCAAAGTTTCTGACTGCAGATTGCTTCAAATCTGAAGTGCAGGACTTTTACCCATGTTGTAAGGCTGGATTGGAAGATGTAAAGCTGAAAGAGAAAGAAAAGTATATTTTAAAATATTAAATCATGCCACATTCAATGAAAGACTTGCTTTCACTGGACTTTAATATAAAAATCTTTTTTTGGAAGAAAAATATTTTAGAAAACTGACAGGTGACAGCAGACAGTACTTTAGCTCACTGGGACTTTTGCATAGAGTATGCTATAGTTCCACTCCTTTAAAGAATTCCCTTGGTAGTCCACATATCAGCATGAAAAGAGACACCTTAAAATCAGAAAGTAATAGATGAAACATAAAAAGATACAGAATAATTAATGCAAACGTGCCACAATCTCTCGTGTATGATTGGAATTCTTCCTTTGGTGTGTTATTTGTAATAAGTTGAATACATTTGTTACGATTAAAAACTCGGGCTTGGACAATTTATTTTCTACATATATGGACCATGTTTTAAAATTACACATATTCAAATTAAGGAACAGCAGCAAGTTTCCAGAGAAAATCATTATTGTAAAATGGGCAGAAACCACCTTACTCATAAAACAGCTTTTCATTGTAAAGCTATACTTGAGTAAAACAAAATAAAAATCAGGAGCTGTCAAGAGTAATTAATCCGTGTGGGACAGTAATCAGCATTTTAAGATTAATTATTAATGCATTGCCACAGAAAATCATTTTGTTTCAAAACAACTGCTTCTCTTTAATCCTTCATGTTTGTGGTACATAGCAATTGGGAAAAATACAACAGAATTCAAATCTTAACCAAAAAAAACAAAAAACCCAAACCAAACTATTCAAAATAACACTCTAGCCCCAAACTCGCCTAAGAGGAGCAAACCCACTGTTCACTATTTAAAGACTTCAGTATTTAAAGCGAGTCCCCCATCTGCACTTCGTCCCTTAATGACACTGTTCATCAATCTTCTACAGATCTGTTGTAAACTTGCATTAACATTTCAACTGTTTCTCTGCTGCACTGATGCTACAGTCCAGCCAATGTTAAAGCAGGGACAAGATATTCCTGGCATAGCAGCTTTAGCAGCACGTCCATTCCACATCAGTGAAGTAGCATGGCTTGATACAAAGCTCAAATGAAATATGGTCTGTCAAAAAAAAATCTGCACTACCTTGTAAGTGCACAGAAACGTGCAGTTCCACTTGTTTCCTTTTTGACAAAGTCTAATACAAGTGACGTGATTTTTCAAGTTCTGATCTTCTAGAAAAAATCCACAAACCTATCTCAATCACTAGCAGCAGAGGTCTTTACATGGAATTTGCAGCATACGAAAAAAATACTGCAAACTTATTACCTAAGTACTAAATTTCAATAACCCATTTTTATGCCATATGTTTCTCCTCTTTCTTAAAGGCATAATTTTCTTTGCTATTTATATTACAGGAACCCCCTCCAAAAAGAAAGTGGCAAGAAGACAAACAACCCTATGCTTTTTGAATTAAAGATGAATTCATGAAACATGTCAAACAGCAAAGCCAAACCCACTAAACTTCCCCAAAACCCTAAAAAATGAGGTTTTCTAATATTAATTACAAATCTAAATATATATATATATATATGTATATATGCACACATATATATATATTATATATAATCATTAAGGGAAGCTCCATTACCAGTGGTTTCTACACATGCTGTATGTTGCAGGATAAGCATTATATGCTCTATAAACTGTATTTACAAGCTTTATGTACTTATGCCCATCTTTTATAAAACTATTTTAGACAATTTATGGTATCCATTTGCTTAATTCCTTAATGCCACTGGTATTAATAATAATCCTGCCAATACTGCAGCATAGTAATATAATCTATAGAAAATCGATAAATACAATTATGTAACCATAAATGAAAATCACAATGGAGTCCTTCCCTTTGTTAATTATACATTGCAATGTTGTTTTGTTTATAATGTCATTCAGTTTTTCTACAGCTGTGAGTGGAAAAGCCTGATAGCTTTTAATGTTGCAAGGCTTTTCACAGAAAAAGAAAGCAGTAGCAGAGGCAAAAAATTTAAAAGCATCATCCATTATTGCGAACTGATGACATCTTGCATAATCTACTGCTTAACACACTCATACTATCTAATGGACGTCTACTAGAATTCAAGCACCATTATTATTCTAATTACTGTTCCTTGTGAAGAATGTTCTCACAACAAATTGTTTGTTGCATACTATCCACTGATGCCAGGCATCACCATCTTAAAAATAAATATGCCTATGTAATTTAAGGATGGCTGTAAGTTTGGAGCCTGAAGCTCCTTTCCCAACCACTCTCTTTTGCATTGCCTGTGCAAATTGTATGATAACCTGGATCCACTATAATTTACTCACATTTAGCACAATTTTTAAAATACAAATCTCCTAATAATCTTTATTATGGGTAAAAATGGTCTGCAGTTTGCATCCATCAGCCAAAGTACTTTTCTGTCATACAGTTTCAAAGGAACTTTTGAGGAATTATGTGTAAGCAAGAAATCAGGAATACTGTACCTCTGCTAAATCAACTTTAGCGCTTTTCAATTCATTACCTTTTACAACATACTAACTCTTCCTCTTTATTAAAACATAGTTGAAATGTGGGGAGAAGAAATACCCATAGTAAAATATATTCCTGTATCACTTAATTTTTCTGTGAGGTCTAAGGTCAGTTTGTGTCTGACCACTCAAACTGGATTATCAAAAGCCCAAGCAACAACAAAACAAAACCAGAAAAAAAACCCCCACAAAACAACACCCGAAGAGAATCCTCAAAATTCCACAGCCTATTAAAAAAAAAATCTTACTTGGAACTGTTGAAATTAAGAGCAAGTCACCAAATTAAAGTTACAAACTTGCTCTGTAATATTTTCTAGAAGATTTGCTTAGAATCAGAGTATCTCAAGTTCTATACTATGAATGCACTGAAAAAATACCCCTTCAGATGTGCTGAAAATTACAAAAAGGCATCTGACTTGTGCAGAAACACAAGGTTTAGTTTTCATATGAAAGAGAAATTATTTTTAGTTATGTAGCAAAGATACACCACAATACATAAAGAAAACAGGCTGAGAGAGTTGTAAAGCCAAACACTGACAACACATTCTTTGAGAATGAAAGTACATATATAAAACAGCTATGATGGTTACAGCTTATAAACTTCAAAACAAATGGAAAAGAGAGCACAAAAAGTCACTGTTCAAAGCTCAGGTGCCAAATAATGACCTATTAATAAAAGGCAAACAAGCACTGTTTCTTACAAAGCAAGATGTTTTTTGATCATGCAAATCTCATGTTCATAAAACAGAATTCCTCCTTTCCCAAACCCATTGTATCTGCAGTACAAGGTAAGCATACTTTGACTTTGCATGTGGCTAGCAAATGATGGCATGTACTCCTAAAGATATAAATTTACTCCATTTGCCATGTGCTGATCCAAAATGAAACAACACTGAAGTACCATTCTTCTACTCTTGTTCTAATAGGCAGAGTAAAATTACTCTGGGTATGTGTAAGGCCGATGTAAGCATTGCCTTTTGGGAATTCTGTACACAAAGAAAGCTGATGCCATGATTTCCACACATTACCTGAATCAATTCTCCAAGCTTGGTATTACAATAACAACAAGTTAGTGGCTATACATTTATTAGAGGGAATACACAAAGGTTCAAGTGACTACTACTCTGCATCCTGAATTTTAAATATGTTACTTTAACATAACGTCCTGCAAAGCTCTTAGCAAATTATTTCCCAACTGGGAACTGCAACTTCGGTTTAACTTCTTTTCCTATAAGCAATTCGTACCAGAGCATTGAATAAAATTTCCAAAATTGAAATAAACATAGAGCTATAAACACAAATGTTGTTTCAGATCTTAGCTCTGCCTTTGACATTTCCTTAACATACAGCCATTAAACAGCATTTGTGTGTCTTACACTTTCTCATTTTCTCTCATACAATGAACAGAGAAAAAAGGGTAAGAGTGACCAGCTAGGCTGTTTCAAAAGGGAAACAAAAATTCCTTGAAAAGCAGTCCAAACAGTGAATTAAAATCCCCTTTTCATTACAGTAAATTTTGACAGTTTTGATGGGTTTCAAAGAGACAGAATTCAAATTTTTCATCTTACACTTCTCTTTTGCCCTCTACCAGAGGTATTTTCTTTTTCTTGCACTAATAATTAAATTAGGACAAAATGCCAAAGCATGGGAGATAAAAGTTTTGCTTCCTCTTGTACCTTAATGATGAATCTGCAAAATTTCAGTTACTTGTAGCACAGAACTACAACGTAATCTGAAAAAAATTAAAACTTTATTACTTAGTCTAGTAACGATAAGAAGTCATGCAGTGACAATCTTAAATCTGTTATTAGGCATGAAGCTCAATAGTGCAAGTTTCCTTATTCCACTACTGCATCTCAGTCACATTTTATATATAAAAATTCTGCATTTATGTGCTAAAAATCTTTCTATGTTTAGCAAATCTGATTATCTGCTGTTGAAAGCACGGGTTGTATCAACAGTTTTGCAATGCAGACATAAAAAATAACACAATTCCAACACAAAAACCCTAAAACACTGAAGACTGACATTACAAAACTGATGATACCCGTAATTACCATCTATGGCAACTCACAGGCTGTATCAATCCAACCTCAGCTGGTGATTCATACACTATATTATTCTTCTGGCAGCAGTAAGAACTGGCAATGTAAAATTCGGTTTGTTGAACTTAATCCTATATTGCTGTGTATCCCTGTATCTCTGTAAAGCTACTTTGACTTTATAAACTAAAATAAGTAGATTTAACTGAGTCACTGCCACATCTTCCTACACTAGTTAGATCCATTTAGTAATAAAAATCAAGACTTTCTGAACTCTAACAAGACATTGAAAAAAACCGAAACCATAGAATGCTTAAAATTTTAGCATAAGTAGAAAGAATATAGCACAAGGTCAAGTCAAAACTGCATTTTAACAGCTATCAAGTAATTTAAATTCCAAATATCATACTTTGCTTTAAAAAATATCTACAGAAGCATTTTTTTATCTAGAAAGAAGCCTTTTGGGAAGTAAACAATTCACTAAAATACAGACTACTCACACAGTTTTCCTGCCAAGGTAATGCCTAAGATGACAAAAACTAAGGAAAAGCAACTTGCTTAAAATTAAACATTCTTAAAAAGAGACAAATGGTATGGGTCTTGAAAATAAAATAATTTTTAAAAAAAATAAAACTACATGGAAGTAAATTTGAGCACCCCTTCAATCAGGCAATCCTCAGCAACCAGGCAGAGCAAACCTCTTATTAATTCTTTTAGTAGGCCACAATGATGCAGCTACTATAGCTGTACAGTAAATGAATTTTCATGTATTTGTTTTTCAAATATGATACAATGAGTCAATAAAGCTCAGAAGGGCTTCTTAGAAACAAACAAATGGCAAAAAAACCCTCAGATGCCAAAGGTAATTGTTCCATATTTCATTCTGATATATGGAGTTCTAAAGCTACTAAAGTCACTAAAAATTGCTATTAAAACTTTCTCTCACATAAGCTAATCACAAATATCTTCAATTTGACATTAAAAAAAAATCAAAAAGTAGGCTAGCAGGTAGAACAGCAACAAAAAACACTTCAGTATTAAAACACAGTAAGTGTAATAAAGGAATTCTTACTCTTGGACTCATAGATCACTAGTGAAACCCAATGGGCTTTTCCAGCTCACTTACTGTGTAGAACAAGTTTTGCTACAGAGGAATATTATCAACTTCAGATAAAACCTAATTATTAAGCTTAAAGGCAATTTCAGATATGCCCACATGGAAGTTTTGTGGTGTTTTTTCATGTTCTTCTTTCTCTCCTCCCTGGCAACTACTTAATTACAGTTACATGAAATCTCAGGGCACTGATTATACAAAGTGAAAAAAATATCTGTATCTCTACTATCAGAATTGGACCTGTACCAGATCAAAGTCACATGCAAACAACTATTTGATTTTTTTGGTTGATGGTGATCCTTCCACTTAAGAGGTTTCTGGAACGAAGGAAATGACAACCTGGAACACAGACATCTAATTTCTTTTCTATGAAAAAAAAGTCAAGTTTAAAGTGCATAATTAAACAGCATAGAAGAATTATAGTCATCAAAGTAAGTACTCATAAAACATTTGTATTCAAACTTTTGGGCCAAACTAGTTTCTAATGCTCTGTTTAAATGATACAAAAAAAAAGTGCATGAGTGCAGAGGAAATTAACTGACTGTATGACATACAGATTTGTATTGCAAGACTAGGACTTTGTTTTGGCATGAGCAACGTCAAACATTTGGTGGAAGGAAAAAAATTACCTTCCAAGATCAAAAATAAATTCCTAAAACACACTGCCACACACACCTGTTGCCATGTGGCTTTTTGCAAAATCCACACTGCTTGCTGGGCACCCAAATATGTTTGCTCTCACTAGCAGAGGTATGTTCCAAGCCTTCCCTTTTAACAGTTGAAATGTTATCTGGAATGAACAAGGGAGGTTCATCAAGTGAAAGACTTTTGCTACTTCTTCTCTGGCGAGGTTGGAGAGTCCTATCATTTCTTTTTGACTTGTTTTTTTCCTTATCATCCTCCTTCAGATGTTCTACAACAGAGGGATCTTTAGTCTCTGCCTCTTCCTTTGTAGAGTTATTTGTTTTTAGCCCAGTTGCAAGTTGGTGTTTGCTGGCTTGCTTTTGACCAGGATGTGAAACATGACCTGACAATGAATGCACAGAGTGGTGGCTATCTTTAGAACAGCTTTGAGAAGTAGGAGATTTCTCACTTGGTTTTTGAACTGATGATTTCTGGGCTTGCCCAGAAGTCTGGACTCGGGGTATTTTCTTTAGCTTTGTGTTGGTCTGTTTTTTAACAGTCACCCCTGAAACGCTACTCTTTGCTTTCAAACCCAGATCAGATTGTTTCTTTCTAATTTTAACTGGGTTATTTGGATGCTGATGACTGTCTTGCTCATCTGCATTTCTCTTCAGACTTGCTGAAGAGGGACTGTGAAGGCCCGAAACAGCAACACCAGCTCTCGTTCTTGACCGTGTCATTTCTTGTTGCATTGAACCTGATTTCTGCCGAGTACCTGCAGTCAGATTTTGTTTATTCTGTACTACAGATTTACTATGCCGTGGTCTAATGTTCTTTTCACATTTTGTTGAAATACCAATTTGTTTCTCATCGTCCTGAAATTTTGATGCCTCAGAGCCTTCTACTGTTGTACTGCCAATCTGCTGCTGTACATTTTGGCTTGACTGGTCAACAACATTGCTTTCTAAAATGCTATTTCCTGGGTCAGTAGAAGTAAACTCTTTGCTTTTCAAGTCTTTATTATCACAGTCTGTGCTGTCCAATAGTTTCTCAGATGGAGATTCAGTGTTCTCCATTCCCTTGTCATCACCTCCAGCTTCTGTTACACATTCTTTTACTGACAATGTATTTTCATCAAGAACTTCCACATTGTGGGAACCTGAACTGCAATCACCCTCCTCTTTCACAGAGCTGGACAAATTTGAAAAGGTCTCACAAATTCCATCTGCATTTATGCAAGCACTAGATGAATCATTATCTTTTCCAGTTACTTCAATTTGATTATGTTCTTCTGCTTTCTTCTCTAATTCCTCTGCTTTATTATCAGTCTTTTCTTCTGAAGAATTTTCCAAATCCATTGAATCAATCACATCACTTGTTTCATTTTTAACTGGAATCATTTCAGTATCTGCAGATAGGGAACAAACTGACTCAGCACTCCCAGAGTCAGTGTTCACTGGAACCTCTGCTACTTCCTTTGTTTCTCCAGAAGAACAGGGTTCTGTTAAATTAGCACAACTTAACTCTTGGGATGTTTCTTCAACTTTTGCCTGCTCAGGGGTTTCAGTCTTTATTTCTTTCATATCTTCAGGACCAGGCAGACATTTTGTATTACTCTGGGATGCTGTTACTGCTGCTGTTCCTTCTACCTGTCCTGATCGTCTTGTACTACGCCTGACCTCCCTAGGCTGCTCTGTTTTCAAGCGTGCAGCAACATCTGTCTCTTTAACTGGACTTCTCTCTTGTTTCTGTCCATTTTTTGGAGCAGATCCACTTTTTACAGATGATTTCTTGGTATTAAGAGGAGGAGCAACATTCGAACGCTTGGCTAGCGTGCTCTGCCGCAGACTCCGTACTGGTTCTAGGAAGGGAAAAAGAAAAGCTTTTAGCTTATTCTGCTTCCTTCTTTTTGCAAATACAAGATTTGCCTAGAAAAGTGATTTACCCCAGTTTAGCTTACTGGATACAAAAAGGACTTAAAACTTAGTTATTTACTAAACTTAAAAACCTTCCCAAAACTAAACTATTTGCATTTTAATTTTACATTGACATAGTTTAGATCTAAAATCCCATTATTCTAAAAGCTATGGAATTTCCAAGTAGTACATACAAAACACAAGTGAAGATAGACAAACAAAACTAACTCTACTTTTCTATCGCTCAGCCTTTTCTACCTCGTACAAAAATTGCACAAGCTAGATTGTGACTACAAATACAACTGAAGTTTAAAAAACTTTGAGAGAACAGTCTACAAATCTGAGATCCAGTCACATTCTCACCTGATGCCAACTTTTATATTTTCTAAACAAGTAACCATTCCAGTGCTTTTCTAAACAGCATAATCACCAGCTTTGTACTACAGGCTCTGACTTAAATTCCAATTGCCATATTAAATAATTTTATCTTTTTAACTCCACCTCCTCTATAAGGGGAAAAACAGAGCAGTAAATAACTCCAGTTCAACAAGTTAGAAAACCCATAACTACAAAAAATCAGCTAACATGAAGATTTAAAATATTTTATTAAAATATAAAGTATCTTGAGATATTTTGATTAAAGACTTTCTGACTGCAATTATTATAACCTAATTTAAAGTAAAAAGAGAATATGCAAATAAAATTAGAGACATGCTAACCTAATGTTCCAATGCGGTTTTGCAACTCCATCATGCTTTTGTTGAAGAACCACATTATTAATCTTATGTAGGTAAAAGGATAAAAATCTCAAAAATTAGTTTAATGACCATAAGCAAGACACTAAATATTTATTAAAGAAGAAGAAGTCTAATTGACTCACACCCTATGGATGTCAGCTTCTAGCTGCAGTGTATGAAAAAGGGAGTTTCTATATTGGAATTCAAACAACCAAGTTAAATTTATAAATGTTGGGGGTAGGATTTTAAAGATCTGATTTACTTCAAATGTGCAAACACAATCTATAATTACCTTGTGCCATTAAACGTGGTGATTTCCTTGGTGATGTGACTGATGCTTCTTCAGCACGGCTTCTCAAATTCCTATTAGGTAAAGCAAGCTCATCATCATCAATGGTGTCATTACCACTCTCTTTAACTCCTTCTTCATCCATAGTATCATCAAGACCAATAACTGGAAAAAATAAACAAACAAGAAAGAGCCTAAAACTCAAAATGATCAAAAAATGTTGCAGCTATAACGCTGAGCAAGACAGGGGAAAAGACATTAAAAAATAAATAAATTGGCCATCTAAAATCAAGCAAAAGAGGAAAAAAAAATTAATAAAGGACAGAAAATTCCCATGTAAGGCTGTTTCAGTGTAGAAGAAGCTATCACCCACAGCTTAAAACTTCTGTAGATTGTCCTCATAGCTTTTTTGTGGACTCACATTTTTATTGTGTTTTTTTGCCACAGGAAGATCCCCAGCCTTAGAGGATCAGCTGCACCTCACTGTCCCTTCCCACCTAAGAAAAAGTGAAGAAAGGTAAACAGCAGGAAGAGCTGATCCAGAAGTGCAGAGCGTAAAAATCAGTCTTCTGACAGGATACCATTTTAAAACTCTCAGCCCCACCCATATCACGTATCTGTGCCTGTAATGTCTTTTTGGAAGAGCTTTAAGTGCAGCAAGCACTTAACCTCCCAGGAGAGAAAGGGAACTTTCTCATTGGTGAACTCCTATCTCCACTAACCTGAGAAAGTCCCAGATGTTGCTGCTGAAAACAGGTTTCCTAAGAGGCAGTCAGGTCACTACATCAGCCATTCTCCTCACTTGCTCTAAATTTAGTTCTTGCAGTGGTAGCCTCTCCTACTTAAAGATCCTATGTGTGATTAATGAATCCTGGTCCCCATGGGACGCAAAATTTGTGAGATCAAGCCAAACACCCAAGTGACTTTATGAAACATGTAGGAAGGTCTCACAAATATAACAGAGACTCCAAACAATCAAGTATGCCTGTTTTTCCTACTAAGAAACCCTGAAGGATTTTTAAGATAAACTCACATGACACATATAAGATATCTAGAAATTTCTAAAAATTGCTTACTTAAAAATTATGTAGGTTAACAAACAGCACAAAAAAGTAAAAAAGCAAGAAGTTAAATTAAAAATTGTTAGGATTTTTAGACAGCTCAGAAAATCTGTCAACTCATGGTCCTTCTCAAGTCTGATATTACTGCAATTTAAAAAAAAAATCAATGAAAAAATAAAGTAACCAAGCAACATGTTAGAATTTCAAATATTAGAAAGTTTTTTAGCAGCCTCTTAAGGAAAGCTGATCATGGCACCAGGCAATCAGCAGTACAAACCTCTGTAATCAGATGGGTGCCAGAAGCTAAAAGCTAGAAGTTTCTTAAGCTAACAATTTATGGTCATTTATTTTATTTTAACCATTATTTTTGGTTGCTGCATTGTACACATCAGTTACAAGGAAAAGTGTTTCTGGAAATTACTGTCTACTTCCACTCTTCAATCCACAGAGCCACCTTTATATCTGTATGTGTTTACAAACATACAGATATCACATGCAAGGTGCATGAGGCTGATAAATTTGGTTTTACTCCACTCAAGAGTGTTCCTCAATCACTTACTTGCTATAAACTACATACTGTACACACTGGCAAAAAAATTACATTGTCACTGCCCTATTAGACATTATTTTCCCAGTAAATATCCAATACTGGCCATTGTCTAAGATGAAAACCTGAATGAGAAGGATCCTCACTCTAACTCCAGCTGCCCATTCTTGTGTTCTCAAAGATTATATCCTCCCAGCAGCTCTGCACTTTGGTATTTGTGTTTTCATAGTGTTCCTGCAAAACATGAAACTAGCTTTTGAGAATAGACTGTGACAAAAGAGACTCACATCCACGTCTGTTCTTTCTGTGTAGAACTAAACTACTAAACTATTAAAGACAGTATGAAAAATAAAAACTACTAGGACAGCTTCTGAAGCAACTCTGGAGCATATTAAAGTGCTGACATTAGTCTTGGGCTTTACAACATTCTTGCTCAAGTTACAGAATTTCTACACCCTCCTTTATTAATAACAAGAGACACATTCAGTCTATTGACAGACACGGTGTGAAATATTAAACACAGTGTTAAATATTAGAATTAAAGTATTTTCATACTTACAAGACTCTGTGCTGCAGCTTTAATTTTACAGAGGAATTGAAGCACAGAATCTTGCTAATTTCAAACCACCTGAGCTACAAGTCAGCTAGTAAAGACAGTTTCATGAGGCCCCTGATGAGGAGCATTCCACACAGACCCTGCTGGGAAGAGAAAAATGACAGAGAACAGCAATAGATACAAAGAAGACTAGGAAAGTAAGTTATGAGGGAGAAGTGGAGGTAAAGAAACAACCTTAGGAAAGGTAAACCAACAAAAGCAAAATCAGAAAGAACAAAAAAAGCAGAGATGATCTTAGTAACAAATATCTAAAAATTATCTCAGCAATAAGTATATAAATTAAAAAATAAAATAGGAAAACTAAAAAAGGAATAAAGAAAAAACTTATCTGAACAGGAAGAGCTGCACACCAGCATACAACTGAACACATTGCAAATGAGAAAAGTACAAGTCACATTCAACAAATCTATACTGGAAAAAGGCACCACTGACCTTCACCTTACTACTGTGCGTTTTTCCATTACTCATAAAGTATCTAAACTTCCAAACTGCTGGGTTATGCTGACTCACTTTTATATATTTTATACCATAATAGAACAACATATAGTAAAACCAGTCTACTCTCAAATTTAAAGCAAAGTTTTTCCTATGCTAAAACAAAAGCATAACCATTTTTAAATTCTTAAGAAATGTAAAACTTACGAAAACTAGTCTTACTTTCTAGTGAAAGAGGAAGAAGAAGAAAACACCCCTAAATATATAATCAAAAACTATGACATTTATAAAACTTTATTTTTATTAACATAAGACTTTCCTTGATTATTTTCAGCCACAACTAAGACAGAAATACTCAGTTTTTTGACACACTATGTCCAGCTGAATCACACTAATGGCAGCAATGTGCAAATCCACAGTAGATTCCATATAGGCATCACAGATTATACGGAAATGGTTTGACATTGTAAAATTTCTGCATTACATGGGAATAACAACACAGAGATGTAACATAATGCTTTAATAAAAAGAACAGTTACAGTCTAAAGCAGTAACTACCACATCTAGGTAAGCCTTCAGAAGAGCTAATAAACTCCAGTGAAGCAATAAAACATACAAAGACAGTGATACTTTGTCAGTAAGTCTCAAGATCGTAAATGAGGTTGGTATACTTTCTCTGAGAAACCTTTTTCCTATTGACATTTTGATGCATATGTTCAAGAAACAAGATTAAAAATTTAACTTTCTGCTAAAAGAAGATATATTTCCAAGAGAAATCATGTGACTTATGACACAACTTACATAAGGAAACATCAAATTCCACTCCAACTGTTTTGCAAAAGTTTGCCTGTAACCCATTGAACTGAGAATTTGCCCACAAGTATCTTGAGCTGACTGTCCAGTGCAAGAAAAGAATCACAGTAAGTAATGTGAAATATTAACTAAACGCTTGCTCCCATTCTCCATTAATGTCTGTGTTGTAAAGAGGTAATTTTACAGTCTTTAGAATAAAGATATATGAAAATCAACTAGGATAAATAAACTTAATACAGCATGCATCTTGACAGAGGACTGCATGCCCATTTTATTAAAAAGATGGAGCTAAATCACAAGCCTACTGAATAGCAGTTCTTTAGTGACACAACCCTGTTACACTGGAAATAAGGAACAGAAAAATACAAATTGCAACAACAAAGTAAAAAAACACATCAAACCAAGCACTTTAATGTAAATTAATTAATTTTATTAAGAAGGGAGTCTTCACTTATTTACAAATTGCTAATCTAACTTGCTTTGCAAATCTTAGTACAGATTCAACCTCTCTCCACCCATGAAACTGATCCAAAGGCATAACTAAATACTTCAGAAGGACCTAAGCTGCAGAATATAAGTAGTTTGCCACACACAAACAGAAAAAGGCACAAAATAAATATTCTCCAGGCTCTCAGGAAATTTAAATTTCATACAGAAAAGATACTACCTGGGTTATAAAACACTGTGTAGCTGTTTATATGGTCAGCTTGGAAGAAAGAAGGCATAAAGAGGTAAGAAAACTGAGAGAAACAACTGTAGACCAAATTTTGGAGTCTCAAAGTTACATTCAAAATTACTTCAAATGAAGGAGGAAAAATACACGTACATTTGGCTTTAGTCAAAAGAGCCTGAACTGCCTAACACAGCCAGGCATCACACCAGATAAAGAAAAGAGTATTTGTAGTCAGAAAAATTGGTTTGGCTTCGAAGATTCAGTACGTAATCATAATTTTAGCAGAGGTAATGCTGCTTTTAACAATACTCAGGAAAACACAGGCTAAAACTAGAAAAAGCAGACTGCACTTTAGGGAAACACTTTCCCAGCAGCAATCCAGAGGAATAGGGAAAAAAGGGCAATTAAAAAGACGTCCCTAACACATTTTGTACATTTTGTGATTCTTACAGCATCAGTCTCTTTTACCATTTATGGTAAGTACCTGATTTGATAAACATACCCATAAACTAAATTAGTTAAAAGCTTGATTTTAATATGAAATCCAGAAATGTCTCCAGATGATATGCAATTAAAATTCCATTCCCTGCAGTATAACAAACCAAACTACCCCACTAAATGACATTCTGAAAAGCTACACAGTTCGTGATTACCAATTTAATTTACCAAGAATTACCAATTTAGTACAAATGCTAAGTTATTTAGCTCACTGGCATGCAACCAGTATGACCTGCTATGCACACAGGTGGATAAGCTTCCAGCATGTCTTCCAGCAAGAACGGAACAAGACAGAAAACCTATCACTAGGGTGCCATTCAAAGTTGCAATAAGTGTGTTGCTCTTAAGAGTTCTGTCATATTCTAAACTTCAGAGTTTCCACTTCTTATCAATGAATTGTTCAATAAGGTAAAAAAGAAAATCAAAACAACCTTAAAAGCATGCTTCCACACCCACTCACACCACTCAAACATTTAAGATGGCCAAGAGCTGTTCTACACAACATAATTTTCTACATTGGCCATGCACAGCTTGTAAGAACAACCACCTGACCAAACCAACAAAAAGAAGCAGAGAAGCACCTAAAACATGATTTGGGACACTTCTGATTGCTTCAAGAATTTGGATTTCATTTATTTCTCAAAAGTTTCATTTTGTCCAATTCTGTTCTTTAACTGGCAAGGAAAGCAGTTATATCAATTTCTACTATCGACACGATGTCTTTCTGCTGACACCTACTTCAGGACAGGAAGAGCCCTCCATACCTCCTAAGCTCCTATGAGTTACAATGAACAAGATGTAGATACTTTGAACCTTGATTAACAGAGGGAACAGAAATTCTTAACTGCGCTGTAAGACCAGCATTTCCTCAGTCTAACTCCATAAACCAGCAACCAAACTACATCTTTATAGTTTAGCAGTCACCCTTCACAAACACATTCTAAAAAGATTTCAGCATAATTTGACCTCTACTCTATTTAGCTTGTGAGATTTGTGAGTCATAACTAGTTATGTCTACCTCTGCTCAAAACCATAACCAGGATCACCCACAAAGAATCTTGTCCCCTTCTCTAAATATGTAATTATTCAATCACAGCTAAAAAGATAACCCCATTCTATTACTCTAACCCTGTTCTGTTACTCAGTGGCAATTATAGAGCAAGCCTAGCAAGTTTGGTCTGCTCTATCTTTGGTTTCTGCTGGTCTTTGTCTGACCAACAGTGTCATCTAACTAAAGAAACTATCTTAATCCAGCACAATGTGGATTCAGGCCAAGAGATAAACATGAGACTGCCTTATTGGTACTGATACAGTTCTGCCTATCAATAGATAGACAACAAACATCCATTGTCATAGTCCTTCTATTTGTCATATACCAGTACTGCTGACTGAGATGCTTGATACAAAAAAGGCACGGACCTGGTGAACTGAGTCCAGAGGAGGCCACAGAAATGATGGAGGGCTGGAACACCTGTCCTTTGAAGAGAGGCTGGGAGAGTTGTTTGGCCTGGAGAATAGGTGGACACCTCACTGCAGCCTTTTAATACTTAAAAGTGGCTTATAAAGAAGAATGTGAACAGACTTTAGTATGGCCTATAGTGACAGGACAAGGGTAATGGTTTTAAACTACAAGAAGGTAGCTTCAGATTGGATGTAAGGAAGAACTTCTACTATGAGGGTGATGAAACACTGGAAGCGGTTGCCCAGAGAGGTGGTAGATGACCCATGCCTAGGAACTTTCAATGTCAGGTTGAACAGGGCTCTGAGCAACTTGATCTAGTTGAACATGTCCACTGCAGAGGGGCCGGACTAGATGACCTATAGAGGTCCCCTGCAAATCACATCTTTCTATGATTCTATGCTACTATTCGTGCCAAGAGATGTCGTTATACTTCAACTTACAAAACCCATGTTTTCTGGATAGATGTCTCTGTATTTCTTATAGGTGTGCACTTGAACTGTCTAAAGGACATACGATCAGTTGCTAGCAGTATCCATCCCAGTCAGGTAAGAGGTAACTCACCATAAAAAGAGTGTAGTATTAACAAAAAACTTAGTTCTTGATGAATGATGTGCTATATAAACCCTAAAACTGAGCAAAACATATTGATGAGTAACAACTTTGGATCAGGCCAGTAAAAATTCCCAACAAAAACTGATGTCCATGTAGCAGTAAGAAAAAGAGCAGGAAGCAAACACACATTCAAAACCAACCACAGAGCAAGCTTTTGAGAACAAAAATACATGATCTCCAAAATAAAGCAAAGAAAATGTCGCAATCTTGAGAAACTAGGCATGTGGGTAAGAAGTAGGCCTGAGTCAAGCCCTTCTCCTATACTCACGTTCACATAAGAAATTTCACACTAACAGAGTTGGGTTAAAGGCATATAAAGAGAGCATTTTGTTTGTTTGAACTCAGCTCAAATCTGCTTTCAAAGAAGTATTAGCGAGCCATGCCTTCTGCCCCTCCATTTTATCTAAAGACCTGATTATCGTTTTAGCTACAACCCCGATTCCTCAGTTTAGGTATTACTACCTTTATCTCTTGAGCTTGCTCACAGCAATCAAACAAGCTGTACCATGAAATCTGCACCACTTTAAAAGTTCTACAAAACAGAATACATTCCAGTTATTCAAGAAACATCAAATATAAAAAATCTGTCCTTTACTGGTCCTGTGAATTAATTTCCATGAGTACTTTGCTCCTTTTAAACTGTTTAATAGTCTAGGCATGGGTTATGCAAAATATAGAATATATTAAAGCAAGTTTTGTCAGGACAGCAGACTACATCAGCAGTGTTAGATCACCAGCCGTGTCAGACAGATCCAATAAATCACAACTATATGATTTTTCAAGGAAAAAAGACAAGCGAAGAAACCACACTTCAAACTGATACTCACTATTCTTAATTTAAAAATTTTAAGCACATACTACAGTCCTACCATGTCAGAAAAAGGACAGTTCTTATCAAGACCTACAAAGAAAAAGCAGCAACAAGAACATTTCATGTTCTTTTGGATACCTACATTAATTCAAAATTACACATTCTAATTTTTTTACTGAAATGTGGCTTTCTTGGTGCTTTCAGATTTAAAAACAAAACATCAAATTAATAAACTCAGCATATCTGCTTTGAATCCCTTAGTCTTCTGATAGTCTGAAACAGTAGCCCCCAAGTAAATGCATTAACCCAATTATTTTTAAGGACTTTAAAAATTATTAGTGATTGTTTACTTATCAATAGTATTAATTATTGCACTGCTGATCACTTTCAGGAGAAATACATGCTAGGAAGCATCTGAAAGTTTCTCCATACCTTCCAAAATATCCAGCTGTACCCTGTGAGCTAATTCAAGAATTTTAAATGCAGTACAGGTTTACTGGAGTATGCACAGGATGCAATATAACAAAAGAATTTGCAAGTGAGGTGGAATTTGGTTTAGTTGTGTACATTATACGGTCTTATGCATATTAAGAGGGATACAATTTTTGTTTGGCAGATTACAGATAAAAATGCATAGGAGTATAGACTATTGCAAGCACACAAAAGCATTAATGATGGCCTCAAAGATGTTCTTCTAAAGTAGGAAAAAACTGCCAAATCTCTTGTTTTGGCTTGATAGCTCACTTTTTCATTGCTTTAATCAATATAATCTTTGATTTACAGTTTTCCATTATAGAATACCACCTAATTTAGTGAAGGTGAAAATTTAGTCTGTTAGTAACAGTAAAATATATATTATATACAGTAATTATAAAGATTTTCAGAAACAGTCCATAAAACTTACTCAAAAAAATGAAATATTGATATAATCATATAATCTACTGCATTAATCTACTACACTTCTAGTAATGAAGCTAAAAAATTATGCTTTTTAAGCCTCTAGTCAAATAAAGAACACTCCTAAGAATAGAGTATATTTTTGTCTCTATCATCAAGTTCAGTGTAATTATTTCAACTCTTCAAAAATATTAATAATTTTGGGGATTGGGGTATCCTTTTTTTTTTTTTTTAATCTTCTAAAATTACTCAATAAATTCGGAGTTGTTTTTTTTTTTTTTAACTTTGCTCTAAACTGTTCCCAAATCAGGTATTCCAAACAGTAAAAAAAAACTTTTATTATCATTCTAGAGTCTTGAAGCAAACCAAAGCAAAACACCCAGAATCCAGAAACAGCTCAGTACCAGAAGGTCTAGCACTAACGGAGTAACCCTGAGGTCAGAGCAGTAATTTGTACAACTCCCCTGCTCCTACTTGCTAATCCAGAAATATGGTATTTTTTAAACCAACCAGTGACTTCAGCGGTCAGGCACAGTACCTTCACTAAAAAAATCTTGACTTTCATTGGGAGTAACTGACAGACAAAGCCTAGGATATTTCTAATCCATATAAGGAGCTTTCCTCTATTGTCACTACAGAATTAACAAGACCTGCACATAGTTTACATACCAGGTATGTATGAAGTGCATTGAAAAAGGGCAGCAAGGCGACAGAAATCCCAACTTATTATTTCTACATTATGAAAAAGGGTTGGTACTAGAGTGAAACTGTATTTTAAATTGTAATCTTAAAAAATTGTAAGATTTACCTGTAGAACAAGGCATCTGGAAATTGGGGTCATTGCTATCCAAAACAGGCAAACAGAACTGGGCACTTGCAGATCCTAGCATAGGATCCTTATCGCTGAGCATGTTCTTCAGCGAATCCTCTAAGACATTTTGACTTGTACTAAAATCCTCACAGACTTCATTCTCCAGGTGGGATTCTAGAAATAGGGCATCATCTAATTGTTCAGTAGGAATTAAATGGTTAAATGTATCAACTATATCCATGAAGACTCCTGTGTGTCTTTCAGCCCTATAGAAAGACAAGAAAAATACCATAAGAAAATAAGCTACAAATTGCAAAACACCTAAGACACCAGCAAAATTTTTGGCTCTTGTGTTTTATAAAGAATGCTTAAGGTATTTCAGAATTATAAAAACAAATAAAAAACTGCTTATGGCTTAGTATGGCTCACTGCATAACTAAAAATCAATTCCCTAATTATTTTTAAAAGAAATTCCATGCTAATCTCCTCTATCAGCATCCAAGTGCTGACACTTCTACAGAGTGTGAATAACAAAGGTAACTCAACAACTCCTTTCTAAAATTTGTTTAAATCTTAACCAGCCCAAGCGAGTAGGACAGCAGAGGAGGAGGATATCAAGAACAAATGAACCTGGGGATAGCAGCACTGTGAGCATGACTGTCCTCTTTTTAAATGTAAAATTGCGAGGTCAGCTTGCACTAACATCAGGGGAGCTGGGAAGGTTCCAGAGTCTGCCATACTACTAATATGGTGTACTACTGAGAACAACTGTCTTTCTGTTCAAAGAGCAACTACCATGTACCTCATAGCAAGTTAGTATTTTTAAACAGCAAGATTTTATCACTAATACTTTTCATCAGTCGATACAGTCAATAAAATTACATAAATTTTATACAAAAATCTTTTATCAATCAAGTACATGAGAATTCAGAGCTGACATCAAAAGGAGGAGCCTTTGAAACTTCAATTTTGAAGAAGTTTAGGTGAACTTCTAGAAGTCTACCTAAGGAATTGTATACAAAGATGACAACTGCATTTTACAAGGAATTCTTTATTTTCTAGATCTTCTTTGTAATGCTGCAGAAGTGCAAATACTGAAGCAAAGACTTAACTAATAAATATGCAAAACACTGAAAGTGTTTCGTGTGGAAAGTTTTGCTTTAGCATATACTCAAAGTGGAGAAAGGTAATATAAAAAATATGATCAGACAGGTAAGAAAAATGGAGCTGTGCAGTACTGCCTGGCTTAATCTGCATACAGGTTAGCCTGACAGGCAAATTTTTGGTGCATAAGGCTGTTAAAGTTTTTGGAAACAACAAAAGGACACATATACTTTCCTTCTCCTTCTTTCACCATCCTCCTCCCACATAAGACAATTATTTTTTTAGAATGAACACACTAATTAAAGGAAAATGACAAGTGAGAATTGGAGTCTGCAGTGCTTCAATTACTTTCTAAATGGTTATTCCAGCAACCTGCCACTAAATAAATCCAGTACTTACTCATGCTTAATAGAACATTAAGTATGCTTCCTTAGACACATGAATGGGGCATTTCTGTTTTGGCAATCAACTGGAAATATCCTAGCCAGATACATGTAAGGGCTCTGCTACAATTTCAACCATATTGGTGCATTTTATTTCAGAAATTTACAAAAAAGTACAGGTTTTAAGACAAATGGTGTTTCATTTTGTTTGGGTGGGGTTTCTTAGGGTTGTTTTTTTTTTTTTGTCTGTGGGGTTTTGTTGGGTTGTTGGAGTTTTATTTTCAAACTGTTTTTCTTCCTTCTCCCATAGGTCAGCTCAGAAGAAAGCAATGGTCAGGTATACAACTATGTCTCTGCAGAGGATGGTATCTTTCCAATTTGTACACACTAACCACAACAAAGCTGTCTAATACACAAGGTCCTACTGACCAAGCAGCTGGAAAGAAGGAAAGTTTGGCCAAATCACATGCATTTTATAAAGAAATACTAGACTTCAGCAGCAAGTCATAGCACTTCAAGTCATAGCACTTCAAAGCAACCTCACCAAAAAAATTGACTGCTTTTATCAAGCAATGCAGTGCATCTACATATACACCACAGCAACTAGCACCTTTAATAGCCAACATGGTTTCTGAAGTTCCAAATCTGGCAGCAAATGAAGAAGCAAACTAATAGAGGAAGTACTATGCTTCACTGTATAATCTGTATTTATTATTATACCAAGCAGTTACAACAATCTGATATTACACAGGATAGACTACAAGAGATGCAGTAGCTCAAAGATAAGAAAATAATTACAAATGGCCCAATACAGTACTTTAAAGCACCTTACTGACAGGTTTTTTCATATTAGCATTACATGAGCACAAGAGTAACAGCCACAGGACAAAATTATGGTGAATCCTGACATTAAGAAGTATCAATGACACTGCAATAGAACACCTACATAATATGTGAATGCAAGAAACCTTTTGCATCCAACATTAAAAAGTGGCACAAGATTTGAAGACACTTAACATATCCCAAGATCTTTTTTTCTGGCTAGGAGAACATTTATATATTTGTTACTCCAATATTTGTTGCTCCCAAAGTAGTTATGACCACTTCATAAAAAGCAATGTTAAGAAGCAAAGTTTGAGAAGAATATTAGCTCTTGCTACAAAAATCCCTCCTGACAGAAATTAACCTCTGTCTTCAGTAATGCGATGAAGAAAAATATTATCTACAGTTTTGTAATAATGGCTGTACCATGCAGCCATTCAAAACACTAAAAGCACTTTTGACAGAAGTAACTTTCAAAACAACTATGCATGCAGTGGCCACAGAAACCTTCAATGAGACCTAAGTAGCTAGCAGAGAAAATTCAAGAGGAATTTTACTGAAAGCTTTATTCCTGGAACATGAGTCTACGATCAAGTATAAGGTCTACCCAAATTTTGCATCAAAAAGTCAGCTGGCTTGTATACCACCACAAAATGTAATCTTAAAGAATTTGTTCTACCATTTTTAAAATACAAAGTTTATGCCAGCAAAATATATAAAATAAAACTTTTGCTTTTCCTAGTTCAAAAAACCACTCACTCTGTGATTATTTTTGTAATTTGAACACTACCAAGCTATTTAAAAAATTATTTAGAACATTACTAGATTAAATATCATAAGAAGTGTAGAATCTGTGGGACTGAGGATGGAAGAAAAATTTCTTTAGCTAGACAGCTGTTAAAAACAGTTGCTGCAAGAAAAAAAAAATCTTCCAGTGCATAATGTCTTAAGTATATGAATTTTGAATGGTTTATTTTGTAATTAAAACACTTTGAACATAAGCAAATAGCCAGAGGTACAGGTAAAATCACAGTCAAAATTTTCATGCTCACTTATTTCCAAAGATAATCCCAACCCCTCAAAGGAAGAATGCATTACTCCACTAGAACACAGCTGTGTCCTCCACTTGAACCCTAGTGGTCAGTGCCTCGGCCAGGCTCCCAGCAGATGCGCACATAATCTGAAAAGTATTATGCACACAGAGCCAGTGAGGAGTGCTCATAAATTGAGTTAAAGGAGCAAGTTCCAGCCAGGCTCAGTTAAACTTCTCCCATCCACTGGCTCCTGGAGCATCAGAGCATGTACTGAGACTATTATAGCACAGTAACATACAGGAGGGTCTGGGTAAAAGAGGAGCTCACCATCAAGAAAAGCTTGAAGTATAGAGAGCATTCTCCTCAGTTCACTTAATACATTTCTCTTGGACGTTCGAAAATAATTTGTTTCTATCAGCCTCTCCACTGCAAAAACAGAAGCAACAATTACAGAAGTAACATTGCAACAATTACAAAGTAACTCACCAACCAATATCTGTCATTAAGTGATCCAACACTATAAACAAGCCTCTTAGAAAGCACTACTATGACTTCTAGAATTTGCCCCATATTATGTTTACCATAAAATTTCTTCATGCTCTCAATATAGTTTCCTTTTACAGTCTGAGTCTTTCAGTTTAAAAGAAATAATTTCTTCCACTGTTGAATTAGTTTATTAACCCAAGTATGCCATAATACTGCCTCAAATCCCAAGAAATCTGGTATGAAATAAATATGCAGTAGGATTTGCCACAGCAGATTTTTCTCTTCTCCCCTTTTACCATATTTTCACTACATCTTTAACAGTTCCACATGATTTTATAATTAAAAGGTAAATAGCCAGAATGATCACTTGCTAAGAAAAGAAATTGAGATCTGGAACAAGCATATCCTCCCAAACTAATCTCAGAAGGGATGGAAGACAAGAAACTAGACAAGAGATGTTGTACACCTTTAAGCTTCTTCTTTACTTAGTTTGTCTATGAAAGAGGCAAAGAATTACTTCAGTTCAGTTATATTACTTTCTTAATCACAACACAGAAAAATAATATAGTGGAGCTCTCCAACTGCATCCACATGTTTCAAAAATCTTATCTAAAATCCACTTCAGGCAGGGGTAATCACAATTTGTATTTACCACTAAGCATTCCTTGTGTTTTTCAGCTGATGGACAGGCCAAACATACTCTTGACTGCATTTTAAACTAAGTCATTTTAAACTAAGTCTCCCTTAAACATCAGCATGTGAAAGTGTTTAATTTTTCAATTACATATTTAGATATATGTTAGATACACTTGTCTTGATTTTTTTTAAATTTATTTTCCTTTACATCCATTTTGTCCATTTTTTACAGTACTCCCACATCATTTATTTTACTAAGCAAATGTTAGGTTTCACTGTAATTACTCTCTTTCCTTCCCTCTCTGGCCAGGGGGTGAATTTAATATATCAGTTTACCTTTTAGACTTGACTTTCATATAGCTTATAGCTATATAGTTTATATTTTAAAGTTAGTAATATAAAATAGAAGCTTCTGTATGTTTAGTAATTGTCAATTTAAATCTGGTTTATGAAAGTCCTCAGCAGTTGGACTTCAAAAAAATAAAATATTTCTACAAAGAAATTTTACCAGAAAAGAACTGCCTGAGATGGGAACAAGGAGAGGCAAAAGCCTAAGGGAACCTAACAAAGAAAAAAAAAAAGAAAAAAAAAAAAAAAAAAAAAAAAAAAAAAACCCACAACCTCACACTGCATATTTAGGATATTCAAAATCCTAGATATTGAATAGCCTATCTACTTTATTGACCTGCCTGAATAAGTGAGTCTGAAACTGCTGAAGATAGCATAGCAATACTACAATTCCTTCCATTTCACCGAAGTACTTTTCTGAATAATGTCTGTCACTTCCAATTCGCTGAATCTGTCTAGTGCATTTAAAAGCTTTTGTACATCTAGTTATTGACTGGATTATGTGAGAGACATTGCAACGTTCAAAACACATGACAGTCTCTGGACCTTGTGCTTATGCACACCAAATGACCAACAGCAAACACTAGTCATAACAACTCTAACAGACTCCATTAAAAAGATTCATATTATATTTATTTCAAGTAGTAAACTCTGGTAGGAGAATAAACAAAAGGAACAAGTTACTGGGACGATTATCACCTTAGATGTCAAAACAAATGGGAAAAGTTGACTCAGCACTGTTACAGAAGAATCAGTAAGTAATAATAACTGACAAAAACTTTTAATCAAAAGAGGGGAACTGCCTCTTAATTGGCATGCTATTAGGTAATAACACAAGCAGCTTAAAGAAAAAAAAACCCTACTCACACTGTGTGACAACTACTGTACCCAAAAGGAACACTCAAGGTATGAAATGTCTAGCTTTGTTCACTGGAGCTGTGATGTCAGACCACCCCAAGGGCTCACTGATACCTTGACACTTAAAACCCACCTACCAAACGATGTTATTTCAAAGCCCTGATGCACGTTTTACTACCATCCTCCTTCTTCCTCTTACACAAACTTTAAAGTTTAAGCTCGAAAGTACCAAATTGAAAATTAATGCTAAGGTGCCGTGTGCCCATGTTGGCATGATTTAAACACTAGAAGCTGCATGCATTATGGTCATGGATATTACAGCATCAAAAACCAGAACAGAGACCCACTGCCTTCTGTAGCAAGAGATTTTACCTAGTAGCGTTCAAATCCAAACACATCACAGGATTAAAGAGAAAATCAGTATCAGACAGTGCATCAGAGGCAGTGTCAGTAAGAAAGTATCGACTTCGCAACTTTTTGGTTTACAACTCTCACACCAATGTGCTTTCTGCTCAAATCCCATCATCTGGGGCAGTCTTCAAGAATTAACTCAGAAAATATTTTTAACACAAGCAATGTGACCTATGAGCATATGAATGACCATCTAGCCACAAAAACATGTTTGGAACTGTTTAAAGAAGACTTCAGCATCCTTTAAAAAAAAAAAAAAAAGGCAGACACAATACTTGTATAAAATATGGTTTACTGAGCTTTAATCTTTTAGCATCATCAAACTTGACTCTCTTCAGTCACTTATCTCCCAAAAACCAGAACACTGGCAAAAACCTGCCTAACAGGAACAGGTATGAAAATAAGCTTATTTGTGTCATCAATATTGCTGTAAAGGAGGGCCAGGTACACTTCACTAACAAACTTATACACTGAAACATCAACCCATTAGGTATCCGTATGCCACCTGTTCCCTTATGTAAATCCCCTACTTATTATTTATTAATTTAATCCCTCATTTAAAATTCAAGATCTAGCTTTGAGTGGCATCAAAACAAAGCCCTGCTGAAGACTAAAAAGCAAGAAATATTAATCTGAGCATTTTGTAAATTGTTAAGAAGCTCATCTATACTCCATGTTTACCTCACTCTGAAGTCTTCAGACACCGACACAACTGAATAAACCCCTTGCTACAAAAATCTCAACAGGCATAATAAATAATAATCACCTCCCGAAACCCATCTAGAATCTAAAGTTATGTGCTGCTCCCCTCAATGACAGAGCAGATATCTTATTACTTGCCATCATGGTATTTAAGAGAACAGATAGCTACTTGCTTTGTTAAACCTTCCCTATTCAAAACTCATTCACCAGTCATAACTGTATGTCAGTGTGTACCTCAGTGAACAGAAAAGTAAATTTCAAAAAAAACTATTTAATTAGATGACAAAGAAATGCAGAAAGAATAGAGAAACCTTCTCTTGATCATAAAATTTCAAACTGCATAATTGAAAATCATCTTAACAGTTATGTTTTGAACAGTATAACCCCTCCACAAAAGAAAAACTTCTCTCACACTCACTTTATAGCTCAAAGAGGCACACGGTGCTGCACTAAAACTTGTGTTATGTCAAAAAACACCTTCACAGTGTGAAATGTGGAGTTTGTAAATGTAAAATGCAAAGTTTTTACATTGTGAAACATTAAGTACATTGTCTTCCTTTCCTGGGCTGTCCTACCAATGAATACTCCCAAATACCGCAAAAACTAGGCATAACCAAAGACCCTACATAATTTTATGAGTCTCTCCATTACAGTATATACCTTGGGAATTTGTAAGCTCACTGCCTGGAGACATGTCACTGAAAAGAAAAAAATGAGGAGAGACTGTATTTCCACCACTACTGCTGTTCTCTTTATTCTTATACCCTCAGGTTTCGCAACACTTGTTTCACGTATTTTCAGCTGGAACATAGTAAAAAATGCTAAACTGTGTAACAGGTTACACTGATTATTTGTCAGTCACCAGAGAGAATATTTTCATTTCCAATACCTTTTGAATTTGTCAGTGTCTCTCTCATACAGATACATCGGGAAACACTTATTAGAATTACAGTTTGTTTGCTGGGATTTTTATTAGCAATAGTTAAAAGCTTAATGGCTAAGCCTTGTGAAGTTTTTCATAGAAATATGCCATCCATCACGTAGCTATATTGACACCACTCAGGAGAATGTGACAAGCTGTCTGTATTTTTCACTTTCTGCATCTATAAAATGAACTCTCATACTTCAGTTAAATTTATCATTACTACTTCATATTATTACCTTTCAAAATTATGCCCTTACCATAAAAAAAAGCTTCTAATATCATATGGCTCTCCCCTAAAAGCTTAGATTCAACAACATTTAGGTTGACTAGGAAAAATTAATGGAAAAAATA